ATAAATGTAGTATACTTGAAGTTGTTTTGCAGGATGTTTCACAATATAAAAAAACAGCAACACATCGTGTAGGCTTTGCATCCAGTATCTGTTTGATCCCAATGAGACTTTTCACCTGGGTAAATAAAGGATGATGAAACAAAAGGGGGAAAATGAACAAGGGCATTACAGGAATGCTTAAAATTTCCAGTCTAACAAGTTTTGAAATAACTCCTGTCTCACATCTTTCTCTGTCTCTGCGTGGCGTTATCTCCTTCTTTCCCCCCCCTGGGAAATCTATTCCATCAGTGAGTGTCACGTAGAATAATAGCTCATCACCTTACTGCATAAAACTTTATAAAACTGCACAGTTCAAACCTGTTGTTTGGCTAATCTAATCAGCCTCAGTCAACAGCGCTGACAGTCCGTGGCCCAATTTCAGGTCGTGCCATTTGCACTGATGTTTCATCGCTTGTGATTCATGAAATGATCCTCTGCTGTCATCATAATCTTCCCTCTTGTTTAGAAGTTACAGCTGTTGTGACACTGAGAGGCTGAAAACAAGGCAATCTCCAAAAGCCACAGATGGCGGTGCCGTGTGTGAGTGCATGTTAATTTGTGTACTGCTATGCATATGCAAAAACTTGGGTGCCAAGATCGGAGCATGATGAAAAATAGTAATGGATAGAGAGGGAAAGGAGGACAGGAAAGAAGACCCGAACATTTGCATACAGATCATTGTCCTTTATCACTATTGTTCTTGTCTGAAGCTTTAATCTGTTTCCTGATACTCCACCCAATATTTTTATTTTCCAGCTGGTGGTATTTGACTGTTGGTGTGTTTGTCAGGAATACCTACCTACCCTAAACTTTATAAAACATATCCAGACGAACACATTTAATGTTGGTGCTGATCTAGGTTACTTTGTTTAAAGCTGACAAATTAGGTCACTGGTATTAAAGCCTTTTAGGCTTAGTTCAGTGTAAAATAGTAAGCCTGTGTTTGGTGACAAATTGGATAAAGCCATAGGATTCATGTGCACGTGACAGCTGCACTTAATGTTTGTCATTGATTACACTCACCTTGGGACTGACTATTGTTAGAAATTGTTGAATTGTTTTTCTCTGTCCTCTGAATGAAACACTTTAATGCATATTGACTGACTATGTCAAGGTTAGACACGTGCTGTTGTGGGCACTCGTACACAGCATCAGTGCATCAAACTGCTGTTGAACCACACGTGAAATGAATTAGAACACAGGTATTCACCATGATTGTGCTTTGAATATGAAGCGATAGATGCTATTGAAAAAAAACCTTTTTTCAACATCACTACATTGTCTTATAATCTGGACTTGTTGGCTTGCAGTGAATTTTAACTTGGTTTTTAGACATAGCAGAACATTTGACAGGTTAAGTGTCATAATTACATCTTTATTGTCATTTCACATGTACAGTGAAATCAGTGCAAACGTCTGATTCATCCAACCCCATTGAAAGTAAATGCATTTTTAAAAAAAGGCCATAAAATATACATGTAAGTGTCACATTATATCACACATAAAAGACATTTAAGCTGAAACAATAAAATAATTCATTGTGTTAAAAAGTTGCACAGCTCGAGCAGTGTAAATGAAGTTGTTTCTTTTGGATAAAGTATTTTTTAAATCTCTTTGTCCTTGCCTGAGGGCAGCTGTTCAAACAGGTGTCTGGGGTTGGATGCTCTGGGCTGTTTTGAGGCACCGGGGACTGCAAAGTTCCTGCAGAGAGGAGAGAGGGCATCTGATGGTCTTCTGGGAAGTGGTGATGACTATCTGCAGCATTTTCCACTCTGCCACTGTGCAGCTGCTAAACCACACACCGTTTCAGTATGTCAATATGCTCTCTATGGTAAAAGGACACAAGCAGTTTTTGGATGTGTTGGTTCTTCCTGGAGATCCTCAGGAAGTGAAGCCTCTGCTGTGCCTGCTTTCTGTCTGTGCTCCAGGTCAGGTCCCCTTTGATGTGCACATCGCAGATCCAGAAGCCTGACACCCTTTCCACACATTCCCCACTGATGAAAATGGACCGAATTCCAATTTCCTTCCTCCTGTTAATCATCAGCTCATTGGTGTCGGTGGTGTTAAGGATCAAGTTGTAATCCTTTTACACCAACCAGACAGTTACTCATCCACCCCAGAGATGAGCCCCAGTACGGTGGTGTAATCCACAAGTTTGATGATGCTGCTGCTGGACTGGGCGAGTATGCAATGGGAAGTAGGGAGGGTGAAGAGTAGGGGGATCCTCACAGAGCCCTGTGGGGGAGTCAGAGCTGAGACTGAGAGGTGAGGAGATGTAGTGGCCGTCTCTCACCCTCTGGGAGTGATCAGGTTTTTATCCAGAGGCAGATGGAGTGAGGCAGTCCCAGGTCTGTCAGTTTGCTCATCAGTTTGCAGCAAGGATGGTTTTAAATGTTGTGCTAAAGTCCCCAATAGTTAAATATTGCACACATACACAGCATGTACATAATGCAACTTTGTATCTATTTCAATACAATGCTCTTCCAGGCTGGCTGGTGTGTTTTCCCTTTAGTTTCAGGAAAAAGAATAAAAACTAAAAATAAATTTTTTTTTATCGTGCATATTGAGTTCTAAAGACATTTATGGAGTCTGAGTAAAGCAACAATGAGTGCAGAACAAACTGTACAGATGGATGAAGGCCGCTTATTCAACTTTTTAGTGGGCAGCCTGCCCGGTCTATGGGTGGGAGAGATACTAGAGAGAAAATAGCTGACGGAGAGACAAGGTGGAGGAGCTCTCAGGAAGGTACTGGCCTACATTTGTTTTTCCAATTGGTGTGTTGTGCTGTCTACACTCTCATACACACAAACAATCACACACAGGTTAAAGTGAAAACACTCCATGTACACATATTTGCACACGGGTTACGTGGAGCTTCTGTCAGCTGAATGTGTTTCAGAAGGAGCAAAGGCAATATATCTTTGATTCGATATGGTCTGAATGTTCAAATTGGACAGACTGTCAGCAAAGTCTGCTGAATTTCAATTACTTTTCTCTTTCTACCACAGCAGCTGTCACCATAAGCCAGCAGTTTAAGTGTTCAATTTTAATTACACACGTGCGTTTGCCTGAATTTTTAATTATGCCTATCAAGTGCTGGTGGAACATTGACTGAAGAAGAGGCGAAATGAGTGCTCAAGGGGGACGGCTGTCTGCTCCCCATCTGACGAGAGGTGAGCGGCAGGCTTAGGGAAAAAAATCAAGCGCAGATAAAAACAACAGATAAGAAACACTGAAGGTCCACAAACACCGCGTCCTTCTTTGTGCTCGAGCTGGATACAGGTGTCAAGGAAAACTGGTCCTGTGGTTTTAATCAAAATGAGAAAATCTATCTTGTTACCATCCCAGAAAAGGTGAAACAGAGGTGTATTAGCGCATGTAGCATGGACAGCTACAACTGAAAACACCTGGCTGCTTGAAAAGCAAAAAACTAAAATGGTGTACCTGAACCTGTTGCCTACAGCAAACTGAAAGAGAGCAGATATTGTTTCAGAGTAAGCTATGCTGATTTTTTTTCTACTTTTCTCAATTAAATGTAGGTTTTGAATTTGATCGCTGCGATCTCTGCTGTCATGATTAAACTCTATGAAAAGCAGAAAAGAAACGAGCCTGTCATCTCCTCGCTGATTGTCACATTAACACAACAGGAACAGGCCACAATACGCTGCACCCTGCTGTACAAGAAAACACCATTCAAACGATTGCAGATGTTTACAAGGACAAGTGAATGAAGGCTGTCACTGATGATAAAGATAACATCATTACATTCTTGCAAATGTTCTGCTTATGGAGCTTTAACTGGGTGTGATGGCAAATTTGAGTGAGAGAAATGGGTCAGGCCTGGCTTGCAGCAGATAAACAAGAGCACAGACATGGACTGGTGTTATAACATAAGCGAGGTTGATCTGTATGCATTTTTATACTTTACGTAAGTAAACGCATCCTCTTTTACTGAAGTGTTGGCAGCTTTACCTCCCACGCACACACAAACAATAAGGACAAAGAATTTTAATAACAGCAAGACATTTTATTTAGGAAAGAGAAACACAATGTAACAACATTTTAAAGATTTGATAACTCTGCTGCTGTCACAGGAAGACTTTATTAAATGAAAAGGGCATGTAAAGCTTTCTCATTTGGTTCCGTCAAGACAAATTTGATCTTTAGACATTAGCATCATCTGCTGAGGGGTTATTAAAGTGTAAAATACAGACAGCTGTTACTTTGGTAAGTATAGTGTTAGTACATCAATGCCATACACACCAGATTATTCACACTCTCCATGATCTCAGTCAGATTAACCAGGGTGTAGTTGCTTGTCTAAGTTTTGTTGTCACTGCTTGACTGCATCTGCACAAACTAATGACTAATTAAAAGCCAACGAGATGTCAAAGAGGCTCACAAACAGGGACAGACAGATGATGGATGCCTCACAATTGCATAAGTGCATTGGTCATTTAGCCAAACGAGCTAAAACGCTTTATACAAAGTCTGAGTGTTTGAAGGACAACAGAAACAACTGACATGGCAATGGATGCACGTAACACAGGAATAAGCACTCGACAATACCGATCAACTGACCAGTGACCCCGTCTGTTTCATGCATATTCAGCACATGGACAGCAGTGCAGACAAACAGTCGCTTGCACACTCGCAGACACGTGTTAATATGTCGTTACTGTGGAGGCTCTCCACTGTGAGTAAAGACACTAAAGCAAATAGGTAGGGGGAGAACCATGAAAGCGTTCACATCACCATTTATTGTTTATTGTTCACATCATTGTTGGGGCAGGGATAACTCAGTAGGTAAAGTGGTCGCCCCATGATCGGAAGGTCGGCGGTTCGAATCCACTTAACGGCTACCCTGAGGTACCCCTGAGCAAGGTACCATCCCTACACACTGCTCCCCGGGCGCCTGCTTAGTGGGCTGCCCACTGCTTCACTGAGTGAATGGGTCAAATGCAGAGGAAAAACAAGTAATTTCCCCATGGGGATCAATAAAGTATCCATTATTATTATTATTAAAAGAAGGGAACGTGGCTAAAGCTAAAGCTAGCCAGAGCTCAGAGCTAGCCACAAGCTTGGTGTGAGCCTCGGTATGAGCAAAGGACCAAAGCAGTGACAGGAAAGTTGTGGAGTTGAGTGAAAAATAAAAAAGGATCACTGTTGGTAAATTTATATGCAAAATGATCTAAGAAACTGACATTAGTTCTGTTTATATCAATAAAGCATTTTATTTTCAATTGTTTCAGTAACATGTCCTGTAACTCCAAACTGTAATTGGTGCATTAAAGAAAACTTTATTTTTCTATAATCTGTCAGGTGTAGTTCTTAGAAAGAAAATCAGAATTGGCAACAAACAAACAAAAATAACCTGGAATCAGAAATTGTGTGAGTGAATCTCTAGACGATACACATATAACATTTTTTTAGATGATGACACAAATAGGTTTGTATGTGTTAGCAGAGTACCAACAAGAAACTGATATACAAGTTTTTAGATCACACACAAACCATCACATGGATGTATTGTATGACACTTACAGTACAGCTGTTGGCAGAGGTCCATAAGACCAAGCTGGAACGTATGGTTTCATCCTTCCCTTTAATAATCCATCCTTTCTGGTACATGACTGTACTTTAAAAAATTGTACATGCTTTCTGATAGATTATCAATATCAACCATTTTATGTCATTTTAAACACTGTAATGCACTGAAACTGATAGTGATGTACACTGATAGTGGCAATCCCAGTAAAACTAATGTAATCATCATGTAACCAGTAAAGCCACTGGCTCTGTTAGTAGTAAAACAGAAAAAGCTATAAGGTGTTGAGAACTGAAGACATTCTTTTTATAGTCTTATCCCACGGTTCGTTTTCTCCTCGGCAGCGTGCTTCAGTGCTACATTAAGTTTCTGATTAATATCGAGTGTTGACATTTCTTTGAATCTGAGCAGGACTTCATTGAGCACAGCAAGAAAACTGAAAAGTGGGTCAGCATCCGCAGTCACGCTTTTGGCCGCAACGCTCCTTCAGAAACGTGTCTGAATGAAGTGGGTCTGTTTGGCCTCGGCTACACTGCAAACACGGGGCACAAACAACAGCCTTCAGTGTCGTCATTGTTAATCGTTATCTCTCCAATCCCTGTGGCCAGCTCTCTGCTGTCTCCCCCCACCCACTCACTTCTGCTTTTCTACCTGTAAAGACGTGTTTGAAAAGAGCTGTGGCTGACCCACAAAGTCCACGAAGAGCGATCCCTCTGGTTGCAAGAAAGAAAAAATACAAGTAATTGACAGAGATTAGCCCTCACCTGCTACGGTGTGATGTAGGCTGAACTTGGGACACTGAAAACTCGACGTGTCGGAGAATGAAGCGAGCCGAGGTCGGTCTACGCATTTGCTTCACTGCATTAATATTTCAACATCAGTTAGTGATTTGGGAGTTACTGCGTTAAATACTGTACACTACTTGGTGTACTTGATGCTCTTGTTTTTAAGTTTGTTAAACACATAAACTGAAACTGTAAATATATAAACAATAAACCTAAATCAAACGTCAACACTGCAATTTTTTCTCTCCACAGAAATAAAAGATGCTTCTCATGTGACATCATTATTGCACTGCTCAAGAGCTGTCTGCCACATTGGATGCAGTTGCTAGGGAAACATATATTCCCCAACGAGTTGGCAGCTGACTCCTGGAAGTGGCTGGCTCTTGCTGTGTGAGCTCTGTTTCATAGAAGGAAACGCACCAAAAACCTCACAGTGATTGCTTTGGTTGCTCGCAGATTTCCACAGTTGCCCGTACTTACATGATGCTGTCTGCAAACACTCGCTAACTACTAGCAGAGCTGCAGTAAAATCTGGAAAAGTGTGGCGCACCTTTCATGTTGTCACTGCAGCTCAGGCCAATATGCTACCAGCCAAAGCAATTCCAAGGTTTTTGCCAACCAGGAGAGGAATACAGTTTTCCCAAAGGTTCCCAGCCTGTGTGACTCGTGCTTTAGCAATTATTTTTCAAGCAACCACTCACAACTCCTTCACAGCTCCCTCACGACCGCTGGTTGCCACACACCAGTCTGTACGCCTGTGTGGCTGGGGTCTAAGTCACATCCAAACTAGCAAACAAGTTTATGCGTTTGCGGAACATGAAAGAGCAGTAAAATCCTTCTGCAGTGACGGGCTCAAATCCCACATGGACCTGTATACATTACATCATAATGTCATGTGTGTAGTACCGGAAAAAACAACCTCCTGTTAATACACTACTCTGTACGACTGTAATGCAGAGCTGTTTTCACTCATAATGGCGACCTGTGCTAAAACAACTTCCACAAACACCACATCTTGTTGGGGGGTGGGGTCCCCTTGGCCAGCAGGGGGCAAGATATCTGACTGCGGTCACAAAAGGGAACTGCCATAAAATGAAAACAGTTGTAGTATCAAGCCAGTGTAAACCTCAGTCGTCTGGTATAGGGGTGTTACAGTTCCCATGATAGATATAGACAGGTCCATCGCAGCGATAATACAACTGAAATATGTCTCCGTATCCGTGATCCCTCCACCAGGTGCACAGCTGCCGGTTCCAGCCACACGCCAAGGAGTAAAACAGTTCAGGATGCTCCATTCCGATCATGGTAAAGAAGTCTTGATCACCCAGGTGGCCTCTAAAGCGATACTGGTCTGCTAGTTTGGCCACATTGCTGGGCTCCAACAGCTTATTGTAAAGAGCCGAGGACCTCATAGCACCTAGGTCCAACAACATCACACCGCTGTTGAAGCCCGGGAGGCCGTCAGGAGGAGGTTCCCCGACTCTGGTCTGAGGGTTCTCCTTCCGGTACTGCCAGAAAGTGTGCCTGAGGAAAAAAGAAGAGGTGCCAGAATAAGGATGGGTCTGCATGTCGAAGTGCATTTGGGCAAAATGTGTGTAACAGTCAAAACACTAGGTTGAATATGAAGGGTTGGAGGTAAGGGAAAGTTGCCTTTTTTCAGACTGATGAATAAACTGATGACTTCATTTGAAGAAGAAACATAAGTAGTCATGACCTTTTCTTTCCCTCATGCATTTGTCAGGAAAACTATTGCTGTGGTTTAGGCGTCCCTATCAAATTTAGGGAGATCAGGATTTTTATGCTGCTGCTTGTACCATTTTTATTTTTAGGGAGTGGGGGTGGGGATGAAGTGTTTGCTTCAAGAAAGTACAAAATGCTCCTTCTGTGTACTGACAGCTGGTGCGAAGATGTTTCGTGCCAACTGAAGACGAGGATGAATGGAAATGTGCTCTTACTTGCTTGCTTGTGCACACGTACACACAGATACAGCTTATTCTTAGTTTGGGCCACAGAGGAGGAAAGCTACAGTAGATGAAATAGTAACGCAGAAACAGAAAACAAAATTAACCACTCATTTAATTTCTGCTCTGCTGACTTTTTGGATAAATAAATGCATGTGGGCGGCAAAAAAATGAAAAAGAATAAATAAAAATCATACACAGTATGCATTTGTCTTTCTCTGTGTGTGTGCAGTTTGATCAAATCTTGTGGGAGCAGGAGATTCTGAGTCACACTTTCGTATTATTGCTGACCTATATTTGGCAGCTGTAGCTTATCCTCACAGTTTTATAGAGTGTGGTGGTTAGTGACTGGGGACTTGGGGCCCCTGTGGAGTATTTATCATTTTAAAGACATTCACTGTGTCTACGTGCACTGCACGATGTACGTGCACTGAGATGCATCCAGAGTAAACATGGTGAAGTCAGGGAACATTTACTTTTCTGTTTTGCTGCTCTGAGGGAGTAAGTAAGTAAGTAAGTAAGTAAGTACTGAGTAAAATACATTAAGAACAATAAATTGCATTTTCTTCAGCATCATGATGGCCAGTAATGTATGACTTCTATCTTACTAGTTACAGACATGACAAATAAGGCAACAGGACACCGTCCTTTTTTTGGACAAAAATGCATTCCAGAGTTTATGTGAAGCTAATATTAGTCAAAATTTCCCTGTTCTTAGCTGTCAGCGAAGAACAAGAAACTGAGGGTAGACAGCAGGGTCAGAAGCTGGCAAACACCATGAAAGCATAGATCCATTCTGCGTAGTGTTAACGATTCGGTGGTGGCGGCGTACGCATCTTTTGATGGCTGCTTCCAGCAGAATAACGTGCCACATGTCACAAAACATCTCAAACTGGTTTCTTGAACGTGACAGTGAGTTCACTGCACTCAAATGACCTCTACAGTCACCAGATCTCAGTCCAGCAGGGTACCTTTGGGATGTGGGGGAACAGGAAATTCGCATCATGGACGTGTAGCCAACCAATCTGCAGCAACTGTGCGATGCAATCATGTCAACGTGGGAGAAAAAAAAAATCTCTGAGGAATATTTTTAAGCATCCAAGCACCTTTTAGAATCTATGATACGCAATGTTAATGGAGTCTAACCGGGCACTGGCAAGGCATATTCCCAAGAAAAGCCCTTTAAACTTTAATGAAACGTTCCGCTCTACGTTTGGAGAAGGTTAGAAAACTGAGCAAATAATAGAGAATGGCTCTCCATGCTGTGACACAAAGACTTTCTCTGGCTTTGTACCAGCACACTCACACCACATTCACTCAAAGTGAGCAAATAAGCTCACTAGCTCAGATTAGGGCTCATACTCTTCACACCTCCGTCCTCTCCTGCCTTGAATTTTCACTGCCAACCTTTCAAATCAAGTGTCTCTCTCACTTGTGAAAGAATGAAAAGCAGTAGCTGGTGACAAGGGCAATCTGTGCTGCCATCCCCTCCAAATGCATGCTTCTGCTTCTTCAGAATATGAAACAGCCTGGTTTCTGATAACTGCAAAAAATGTGCTAACCGACAGAAGGGAGTCTGGGCTGTGCAAATGAAAAGTCCGGCCCTTTTCGTCTGTAGTTGGGATACACAAAAACACATTAAAATTCCAGGATGGATGCAAAAGAGACGCTTTAATAGAAGAGATGATAAAGAGCTTAATTTTAGAATAGAGTCATTAAAAAGCATGATTAAAGTCATTTAACACCGTCATGTTAAACAACGTTTGGCAATTCTGTTGACTGAATGAAGGCATCATGGTAGACTCGCTGTTCTTGATGATGATGCTGACCGCCAGATGCAAAATCTAATTTTATTAAGATCAATGACAAAGTGTCTCAGTGTCCGTGCTACATTAGTCATTATTTCATATTAAGCATTCGGTATCATCTTACAGCAAAAAGGGGAAACATGTGGGATGCATCACACAATGGAGCCTCAAAACACAAAGCTTAAAGAGAGCAATTCCCTCGCTGCTCATTGTGTGCGCCCGTGGCTGTGACACTTATGTAAGCATGTCTCCGGGGTTTTAAAACATTACGACGACAGCTGCAAGGGAAGAGGCACGGGGCATTTCTTCCAATAATGAACTTTTCAGGGGCAGGATGTGCTCTCAGTGTGGCTGGTGGGAGGATGTATTCTCCTGCATAATGCTCGGTCCATTAGCACCAAAACGCAGTGTGAGCTGAGAGCCCTCTCTCTGCTCGGCACAGGAAAAGAGGACGTGCACTCTGCCTCGCTAATAGCAAGTCTCAAAAATTTAAATATTATCAAGTCCATTAGCTAGAGGCCAATTAACAGGACAGCATGCAGAGATGACAAACAGATAACGGATAGGCTTCTCCAATGTTCACTCAGTCTGGGTTAAATGTAATTAAATAAAAGGCTTCTTTCTTTTGGGGTGCAGAGTCAGTGCTACTTATTTAATTTGGATCATGCATCCTGACATTACACTGGTCCTGACCTGTCGCTGCAATTGGAACAAAAACAAATCCTCGAAACAAAAAAAGAGAAAGAAAAACAATAAAAACTTGAATCTCTGTATTTTCTATTGATCTCAGCCAGTGGCTTCAGCAATATCCTCCAGAATTTCAGTGACGCAAAAGCTAACCGCTGTCAACACTTTCAAATTTCCTTTAAAAAGGAAAGAGGAGAAAAATCAATTGCAGCTCGGGGAATGTGCTTTTAACCCCCACAAACTGCAAGAGTGAGTGAGTCACATGTCAGTGCAGAGACAGACACTGAGCTTAATGTGGAAAAACTTAAGTTGATATACGATTTCTTGGTATTCTGCTGCTGAATAAGCCTGTCCAGGCCCACAGGAGGACATTAGTGGGGATTCCCAGTGTTGGTAAACCACTGGGAAGAACAGAGACACCAGATTTACTGATTAGCATGCACACACAAACACTGCTTTTCCACTGATGGCACTTCTCCAACACACATGACAAGCAAGCATCAATCAAATCCTGAGAGCAAACAAAGCATTACAAACAACATATAAATGTGGCCGTAGAAACGCATTCGCTACAGAGGAATTTAACTTTGGTTGGCGTGAGTTATTAGGGGTTAGTGATAAGATTAATGCACAGGCATTGCAGAGAAGACGATATTAATATCACACTTGTCGCCTTCAATATCACGTGCACTTGAAATCTTAATCTGTAACTTCACGTTGACAAGATTTCCTGTACTTTATCATACACAAGCACTCTGTGTACGATGTGTAAGCCATGTCTAAAGAAAAGCCTGAGAAATTGCTGGAAAAAATTGGTAAATGGACTGATTCTTATATAGCGCTTTTCTACTCTCACGGAGCACTCAAAGCGCTCTATACAACATGCCTCATTCACCAAATCACACCCATTCTCACAAGCACTTTATCTACACTTAGTGCTTTCTAACGACATTCATACTCCGATGGATGCATCGGAGAGCAAGTTGGGGTTAGTATCTTGCCCAAGGATACTTGACATGCAGACTGGAGGAGCCAGGAACCGAACCACCAACCTTCCGATCAGTAGGTGACCTGCTCTACCTCCTGTCTACAGCCACCTTAGTGAAAGGTTTAAAAATAGTGCAAAGAAAGCAAACCTGTGACTTGTTATCCTTATTTGGCTTCTTTCTAAAATTAAACACTTTTTGATTAATTGTTTTATTAGCACACAATCTTCAAGAGCCCACAGGAAACCACCTGCCCGTGTTTGTACCAGTATAGCAGCTGCTCCTGCATGAAACTTCCCACCTGGACTTGGCTCATTGAGTCTCACTATCTCACACACACAGACATCGACACAAACACACAAGCACACACACAGTGACGTCCTGTTTTGATGCTGCACTGGAGTGGAAAACAGTGAAGTAGTCTAAACGGACCTGGTGTGTTTGTTTTATTATCTTGGAGAAAACTGGGGAAAAAAAATCAGCTGAGGAACAAAGAGCCTGAAAATCGGGGGCCCTTGTTTACCTGTGTACACACACACACACACACACACACACACACACACACACACACACACACACACACACACACACACAATGACTAAATCAGTGTACAGAGCTTGATGTGAATCTTCACAGAAATATAATTACCCTTTGCAGAAACACAGACCTCAACAACTGTGATTGGTCAGTTTGATAGTAATATGCAGTAGTGCAGCAGCAGCAGCAGTGATTAGCACAAAGCTTGTACCTTTCTGAAACAAAGTAATTATAGGCTTGCTTGCTCATTAGGCTATGCAACAGCTGGTATTTCGTCAATGTATCCATGCATTTGTCAGGTTTTCCTATCACTGTGTATACACTGAAGTCTTCTCTCCTTCATATGTTCCACTAAAAGTAACCATTTTTAAGATTTATTAGCGTGCAGCTCAGTTTCACTTCTGTGGGTGCAGACACCAGTGAGTACGTTAAATACTGGCAACCCCTCATAAGTATGGCACTGCAGCTACCCATCACCCTCCCAGCAGACACACTTACTATGTTGGTTTGTTCTCAAGTTATTGCATTCACAACAGTTTCAGAAAACTTACTCTGACCTTGAGGTCGAGGTCACTGAGATTCAAACTCATCCAAGGTTTCGAATAGATGCACCTATGAGCCTTTCATTCATAAAGTTCAGAAATGCAACGGTAAGAAAGCCAATAAAGGAATGCTGAAAAGACTGAGAGAACCTGACCAGGCATCTGTTACCACATCTGCTTATTTTAACGCCTTTGTATGTTAATAAAATATAATGAGCATTTAAGGCAGTGTTTTAAAAACATGTTTGCAGAGCCGAGGATGACAGGAGGAAAGAGATTCAATCTGGAGCGCCACATCGGAGCGCTGGATCCTCATGTCCAAGAGGATTTAATAAATTTCCACTGCCTAACGAGGGCACTCAGAGTTTTGTACTGTATGAATCAAACTGGCGTGTTGCTGGATTCTGAGTGTGAGTGATGAACAGTTTGTTTACTCCTGGCAGTTCTGAGAGAGAGACAGGAGATAAATATGAATTGCAGGACGAGAGCACTTCTTAACAGGTGACTCATCGTGGTTCCTGCCAAATCCTCAATTATTATTCTGGCATGAGAGACTCAAAACAACATTTTCACCATAGTTGTCATAACTTGGCCTTCTAAGTCTGACCTCATAGTTATGCCACTTGCAGAATCTCATTTTAAGCCAGTTATAAATCTGACTTATAAATCGGAGCAAGTGTAAAGTCACAATCTAGGACATTCCTCTATCAGCAGGTTTGACAACACAGCTTGTAACACTGACATCATCTCATAAACTTTACAACAAACCAGATTTTAGATCGGACAGAGTATTTAGGGACAGTCCGCCAGACCTCTAAACCATTTGACTAACGTAGTAAAGGCCTATTACCACATGTGGAGCCCTTTTCACTGTAAAAACTCTCCAAAAATTTCCATTTGAATTTCTGTATACGGGTGCTTTCAAAAGGACCCCTGCTGGTTTGACTGATCGTTTTATTCCCAGTGAAAAACGCTTCTTTTTCCTTCTCCACAAAGATTTTTTTCTTGTATTTGTTTTTTAAATCGTTTTCTGAATCTTCGCTGTGAAGTGACAACAATTATTTATGAACTGTGTTATTTATCTTCAGTTCACCTGCTGTTTCTTGTGTATCTCATTGGACTGTCAATCAGTGGGTTTAGTTTTCAGATTTCAGTGTTGGGGAATTTGTCTTTTCTTCATAGTTGGAGAAAAGATAAATGACATATTAGTACCAAGCCTTGCTGAATGGCGAAACATGCTTCTAGAAACAAATCTATTAACGTGAACCTTTAAATCGAGGTATAGTTAAGACCTGGGTAGCCGGTCTGATTGGTTCAGCTGAGGTAAAGTCCAATACACCCTTAATAAATACCAGATATGCAACAAGTGCTCGAGGTTCAAGTTTCAAGTCCAGATGACAATATGAAAATAATAAACTAGCAACACTACTTGGAAACGATGCAAATAAGTTAAGCGCATTAGGATGATGCTGGCACGACAGAGGTGAAATATGAGTCTCTGCAGATATGAGAGCCTCATTTCCCCTCAAAGCATTTCCCCTTAAACTGTGTTTGTCTCCAGTAAATGAAGTTAATTTCTTCCATAGCTGCCAAACACATAACAGAGATGTCTTTTTCCAAAACCCTGAAAAGGATGCAGTTTCATAAATCAAATTCAAATTAATTTCAGATTCTGCAGGAATTTCGCCTCATGTCGATATTTCACAATCCCAGCGTTTCATTTCGCATGAAAATCCTGAAACTACAATCAGAAAGGCTGCTTAATTTCCTGTTACAGGCTGCATTGCAACTTTTTCATTTGTGCTTGTATCTGAGAAAGACACACAGCGTTTAGGTTCCTGTGAATCAGTCTGGACACCAGACCTCTGATGTTCCTTCTCACTTAGCAACTGTGAGAGACACCAACTGTGAGCATGCATGTGAGGCGCAAAAAGGCTGAAATCCATCTGGGGTCAACAAGAGCGACTGAGATTTGTACAGCGTTTCAACTGGTTATTAATATTTCATTAAAAATGTGGTATGTACACTTACACCACTTACAAACGTATGTATGCACGATCCCGATCAATTCAAGGGTTGCTTGTCACCTTCAGGGACTTCATTTGACAGAAGAATTAGCAGATGAAGATGAACTTCCTGCTTCCTGTCTTCTCTCTCTACTTTCTATTTCTCTCCCTTTCCCTTACTTTTTGTCAGGCCAGTGGATTAAATCATGTTAATGTCACACTATCGGTCGAAAGTGGTACTGGTGACCAAAACACATATAAAACAGACATTGATATGTATCCATATGTGTCCACATCTCCTCAGATCTGACATGGTCTGCCCACATTCAGGTCCAGTCCGAAAAGGCTAGGCAGCGCCTGTACCACCTCCGACAACTGAGGAAGTTTGGGGTCTCGTTGCTTTCTGTATGACTTTATCAGTGTCTCACATTATTGTTGAAGAGTTTTGGTCCACTCCTCTTGACGGTGCCCTTTCAGTTCATTGAGGTTTACCTGCATTTGTTTATGCGCTGCTCTCTTTTGGTCCCAACACACTATTTCAGCCAGGTTCAACTTAACATGAAATAAAAAAATAATAAAATAGTTTGGAACATTCCTATGCACCTCTGGGTTTTTGTCACAGCCGTGCGGCCCGGGATTCGAACCCGGGACCTCTCACACTCTCATCTATCCAAACGACATTATTCCAGATGTCTTGTGGTCCATTTAGATGCAGCTTTGCAAACCTACGCCGTGCTGCCGTGTTGTTTTTATAATAATAATAATAATAATAATAATAATAATAATAATAATAATAATGGATTGGATTTATATAGCGCTTTTCAAGGCACCCAAAACGCTTTGCAATGCCACTATCGAACCGGCGACCTTCCGGTTACAGATGTGCTTCCCAAGCCCCTGAGCCACGGTCGCCCCATTTTAGCAAGAAGAAGCTTTCCTTTTGCAACCCATCCAAACAAGCCACACTAATCTAACATGTTGAATGAGGCCTGTAGAGTCTGAGATGCAGCTCTGGGATTTTTGCACTTTCATGAGCATCGTGGTCTCACCTCGGGGTGAATTTGCTGGCACGTCCACTCCTGGGAAGGAGTGTTAAATGCTTTGCACTTGAGAATAGTCATTCTCGCTGTAGAATAATGGACGAATTGTTTGGAACTGGCCTTATGACCCTTCCCAGATTGATGAGCAGCAACAATTGCTTCTCTAACATCACTGCTGACGTCTTTCCTCACTGGCACTGTGTTAAAGACACACCTGAACGCTCCAGACCAGAAAACTGACAAAACTTCTCAATTAATCAAGTGCACTTAGCCGTTTATGACCTTCTTATATGCTCTTTGTTAAATACATACTGACACAATATAGTATATGCTGTGTGCCACTGTTAATCTGAGGCTGTAGTTATCACATTTTTAGACCTGCTAGGAACAGATGAATTTCTTTATTACATCCAGACATACAAAACCTTTGAATTGAAAGAGGGTGTAATTTGTTTTTGTCAGACTGACACCTGAATTTTACTTTGGCACAATTTAAAAACAAAGTGAGGATGCTTTCTCGCCAAAAGTCAAAGCCCAGCAGTCGAGTCTCTCCTCATGACAGATGGTAGCCTTTGATCTAGCCTGAGCCGGAAATTATACTGACGTATTGAGCGAACACTTGAAAGCAAGAGCGCCGAAGTTAAAAGCAGAGAGCCTCACTTTTATTCATGTGCATGTCAAGATGCAGCAGACTGGTGTCAGTCTGAAGCTTCCAACGACTGGCAGGTTCAGATTTCCCTAGTAGGTGCTCTGTAGGTCTGCACTGCTTACCTGTATACTGGCTGCATCTCTCTGGTGATCCCTATAACTGCTCCTGGAGGAAACCGGTGAAACTCCTGAAAAAGGTCCCTGATGTTGGTCCTGTACTTCAGGTCCAAGTCAAGCTGCACTATGCGCGTCAGACCTGAAATGGAAACACAGAGGATAAATGCAGAGACTAAGTTGAACAGATAATGGAAATAGATTGTCTATTTTAAAAATGATCCCAAGAAAATGTACTTCTGAGTAAAATCTCCCTGAAGGATCCATTTCCGTGACCACTAGCACATCATTCAGCTTGGATAACAACATTTAGTGAGAGAACTGGCCCTTCCAGGAATACCGAGTTAGAGGAAATAAGAGCAGACACTGACAGAGGTTTTGCTCCAAGGTGGCTCGTTTGGCCTCTCTCTGTGCAATGTTAGCACTGACCTAGAAATGAGAAACATGCACGAGAAGAAAATGTGGAGAGGAATATGACGAAACGTGAACACAGTGGCGTAGCATGCAGAGTAAATGCTTAACACTGCATCTTGTGGTCTGGGAAAGAACCTGTAATAACAGTAACCAGGATATTCGAGCCCTCATCAGTTCATTGTTTCAGCTTCCTATATTATTCTGGTTGGCATAGTGATGAAAGGATGGGAAATGCTCAGGAATGAGGCACTGTGCTCACAACGTTATTATGAACTGATGAAAACTTGTGTCAACTTCGGATGTAAAGTCAACGATGAACACCTACAGGCTGTCGAGTTAACAACATCTAAAGCCGATGGACTGAAAAGATGTGGCGACTTTCTGAGATCCAGGACACTTCAGAACATCATTCTCGTTTTTAAATGTCTGGTGATTAAATGTCTCCTCAGTCTTACTAATGCGGTCGTACAATGAAAGACAGTGACCTTATTTATTTAATGTTGCTTAAGTCACTAGAAAAACTCAGCTAGGTCACACATAAACATATTTAAGTGCTTCTGTCTGTTAAAACAAGTGACGTGAAAAGACGATGGCTCAGCAGTGCGGCAGCAACCTGTTTTCTGTGCTCTCCAAACAAGGAAGCTGCACATCACAATGCCCGAATGTGCTGTGGCAACACAGAGGGGCTAGGAAGCGTAATCTCTGCGTGGTCAGCGCTGTTTGTTTGTACTAACATGGCTTAACGAGCGTGAGTGTAACAGGAAGAGGGCCTTCAGTTCTTACAACATCGTAATGTGGTGGGTTTGATGTTGGACCAATAACTCAACACAAAGTCCTCTAAAGGTGAAAGCGGAGCTGCATGTTTTCAAATCAACATTTATCTTTTTGCATTTTTGAGTAATGATAACACAAAGAACCCTGTTGCAGCTCCTACATTGCTGTACGTCTTTATATTATTATCGTATATTATTATCTAGAGCAGGGCGATATGACCAAAAATATTTATCACGATATACATTTGAAAATTTGCGATAACGATATGACTGACGACATAATTGACACTAGACAAAATACTTTACAACTTCACAACTTTATTAATGCAAACCCCCGCCCCCCCCAAAAAACATCAATGTATTTTCACTTAAACAAGCAGCTGTTCTTTATGTGCATTAAAGTTATATAAACATTTTACAGTGCAAATGCAAATTCCTCGCTGACAGTTTAACCAAAAGGCATTTCCAGTGGAAACTGGCCGACATATCCTCAGCATAACCATGTATAATATCCACAAAACTTAAAAAGAGCTTATACACACACAATACAGTAATATTATGTTGAAGCACAGTACGTATCACTCCGCGAGGCTCCGCCTACGATAGCCATAATGCTCCGACAATCCATCAAGCGGTGCGACTTCGTAGCTTAGCAAAGTCGCACTAAAACATTTGACAGATTCTCGAGCGCCGTGTACATAAAATCGTTTCGAGGTCAGTAAACACAACCAGAATTCATACATAAGGCACACGGAATTATAAGGGGCACTGTCGATTTCCAGAAAAATCAAAGGATTGATTTTAAATGCCCCGTATTTTCCAAACAACACGGTAATAACGACGGCCCGCTAGCATGCGCTACCAAAAATAGTGCTTTGTTGTGTATCTGACGGATGAAAGTTAAACCAGTTCCACACCAGTGAAGTTGCAGCATTTTTACAAACCAGTTCTGGTTCATCTGTTTCATTCAACGAGCCGCTTTCGCCCTCCACATTCTCCGTTGCCGCCGTGCTTTTTCCGCCATGTGCGTATGAAAACAAAGGCACTGCGCATGTGCGTTTTACCCATATTCTATCGCGATATTTCATTTTCTTATCGTTGCCCAACATTATACCGGTATTACCGTGAACGGTATGATATGGCCCAGCCCTATTATTATCTTTAATTATTTATAATTATGCTTTCATCCTTCTTTTAATTAAACAAACTATGTTCTTGTGCTGATTTGTAATTCCTTTTTTCCTCCCCTAATGGTCATAGTGATTGTTGTTCTCACTTAGGTCAACATCTGATGTGTTTAAATGTGCTACACAAATAAACTTGACATCGTCTTTTTCCCCCCCTCTACATCTAAACCTAAATGTATGGTTTATCCAACCAACATGGATTAAGTCCATGTTGGTCCCAAAGGCAGCTCTTGGGAAATAAAGAAACAGATCAAACTTTACTCATCTCATTCTTCTTGCTTCCTCCACTTCTGTACCATTGATTCATTAATGCTCAGATATTTGAAGTTTACACAGCTACATTCTCGCCTGAAAATATGTTAAAAGTTTTTTTTGCGACCCAGAAAGAGAAATAAGAGTAATATTAAAACTAAGTAGCTGCCGCCATTGTTGGAGACTGGACTTGGCTAGGCCGCGCTATGAATACTGGGATATGGTTTTTCATTTTTGTTGTCCGGGTGGAAAACCAGGAGAAATTTTGGGAGAATGGTGGCTCCGGGAGATTTTCGTGAGGGGCACTGAAATTCGGGATTCTCCCGGAAAAATCAGGAGAGTTGGCATGTATGAGGAGCACATCATTATATACCAGCTAGCCCAACTTCAGTAACCCTACAAACGTCACTGCTGTTTAGTTTCCTGTCTTCATTTATGTTGGAAATGATAGCAGAGCTGTACGTTTGAACTGTTTCAGAAATCTCTCAGTCAGAACATGCTATATCATGTTTAGGTGGAAACTAGCGAGCTAACTTCCTGCTAACTTCTAACGCAGTTACATTTAATAAATTCTGTTTTCATGGATGCCTGGATGTTAAACTTAATTGTTACACCTGGTAAAGCAGCAACGCTGATCATTTTATTAAAGATGAAAGAATTTAGACAGTTTTTAATTCTCAGTGATGCTGCAGTGTTGATTTGACTTTGGGACCTGAAGAGACGGAGTTTAGGACCCAGATGACTCTGCGAGGCTCCTGACTACTGTAGCCGTAATCCTCTAAGCCATGCGGCTTCATAGCTCACCAAAGTCGTACCAAAACATTTTTGACAGATTTTTTAACGCTGTGTACCACATAAAATCGATTCGACGTCAGTAAGCACAACCAGAATTCATACATAAGGCACACTGTCGATTTTGGAGAAAATTACAGGATTTTAAGTTCGCCTTATAGCCCCAAAAATAGGGTACTTCACGTTTGAAAGCGGTCAGTGTACACATAAGTCAAAACTTCAATGAAACTTTTATGTGCATTTGCTTAGTTTGATTTAGAGATGAGGACGAGATTTGTTGTATTTTTGTTGAAAACCTCTCTTAATTATTAAATTAATTAATTTCTTAAACTTGTATGTACTAATCTCCAAACAGACTGAAGGCATCTTTAACGGTATCTTTATGTCTAAGATATGAAACATAAATTAAACGCACTCATATAAAAATAGTAGGAAACTTCTACATTGTTTGTTTATTTCAATTTCATTTTCTCTACATAAATAATCTTTTGAAAAGAATCCATCCCCGTGTGATCAAAATACAAAACTCTTTCCCCCCCCCCAAACAGTTAAACAAAAAAATATTGTTATGTGGAAAATATGTGAGTTGAGGTCAATCTGGGCCAGGTGTGTGGGTGCTGCTTTCACTTATTTACTGCAGGAATAATGTCATTAGTGTGGCTTAGAGCCTGCCTGAGGCTCTGGTCAGATCTGGTCAAACTCAGGCACAGCAACAAAACAACAGAGACATTGTTACCTAACATGATATATATTTATTTATTTTTAAAGTAAGAAAGTGGGTCAACCTCATTAAGCTGTAATAATAGCCTTGATGTTAGTCTATTCGTATGAGACGCTGTTTTCTGCTTTTACCAAGATTCACTAGAAAATGCCACCAAAAGTACGTTTCCTGATTCAATATAAACGGTTTACTCCAAACAACGAGGTCCTACAGTCACAAACAATAAAAATAAAATGGAAAAACAGGACAACAGAAAGCAGCTGTACTGCGTTCACAAACTTCATTAAGTCTAAGTGACAGTATTTTAGGCTTGCAAACGGCAAAACTGTAGACTTGAAACAAATTCCTGAAAGTTACTCTCTGCCAGTATGACGCTAATAAGGTTAACATGTTAGCTAGATTGATGAACTCAAACCTTAACCCGTGCTGAGGATACTCAAGTCAGTTACTTGAACACAGAGTTTCTGGTGTTGTTCAGTGTGATAATACAACCAGCTAGGCTCCACCTGGGTTCAATTAAGACGCCTTCAAGACACCAAACAATTCACTGAAACTGAGCAGCATTATTACAAATCAGAAAACCTGCACACATTAAAATGTGTGATTTCACTGGCAGGTAGGTATACAGACACAACCTTAACCCTACTAAAACTGTCATCGATATGTGTGACCCTGTGTCAGGTCTTTGCTAGATTTTTACATGTTTCTTAATGACATGACTTTCAGATACTGTTCATCTGGTGTAGGTCGTTTTTCGGGCTTGCCGCTTCTTTTATTCTCCCCTTGTCCAGTTTCCTCAAATTTTTTAAGGACACATTGTACAACACGCTGAGATGTGCCAGGTTTTTGGCTGAGAGCTCGTTGGGAGTTACCTTGTTGGTGCAAAAATACCAGTTTAAGCCTGTCAAACTGTGTTATCGTTTTCAATTGTTATAGATTCAACTAAAGAAATGGGGAGGAAAAGATGTGTTCTTGCAATAGGCTGCTGCCTAAAACAAAGAAAAACTGGAAAACAATCTCTCAAGACCACTTGAAAAAAATGACATCTGGCATCTTGGAAGCAAAATATAAGCAAATGAGAGGTGACTCAAAATCACAGTTTTCAACAAAACCGCTGCTTCTTCCTGGGATTCAGTTATCATCTTTGTCACTTTTTCAAAGCGGTTCGCACATTAACAGTGTCACTTTAACCCTGTGTGGAAAACAAAAGACGAGGTCGCAGCAGAGACTCAAGTAGCAGCACGTTTACCTCTCGAGGGGACACAAAAGCACGTAACACCTTTCCCCTAAACAGAACAAGTGTTTAGGAACCTTGTCATTAATTAACAGCTTTCCATTGTGCAATTTTATTTCTCGCCTATTCTCAAAGGACAGAGAATACATAGATCTGTTTTCAAGACATTTAATGACCTGCATGCTACACTTACATGGTTTTGATGTCCTCATGAATTCTTTATGTTATGCTACTCTACTGTAGCATCAGTGTGGCGTAACCTGTACCTAAATTAATAAAAATTAACATAAGGACCTCAAATACATTTTGCATTTCTCATATGCGCTGATGAAACATTTTCATATTCAGACTGTGTACAGGAAAGCGTAACAGTGCTGACAATTTCCTCCATGAATTCTCTTTTGAAAACAGCAACAAATCTGACAAAACGTCCATCCTTCACACTTGTGCCACTAATCAGAAGCTTCTTTGTCTGCTGCTTATCTCACGCAGTGATGAGAGAAACAGTTACATCAAAGACTGGTGCCTAGAAAACAACCCTGCTGTAGCTTTGTGCATCACATACTCTCACCCCCACCTGTCCCAAAACTACCACATTATGCCCTTTCTAGATAAAAGCATTCTTTAAATAGAAATGTGTGACCACGTGGGCACACAGAGCAGACGTGCAACACATGGTTGATCAATAAGCGCTTTAAGGACACGATCTCCAGCGAGATTTTATTTGTTATTTGAATTATTCGCTTTAAAGTTTGAGCAGTCTAACAATTAGACAGTTGGATGAACAACGTCTCTTAAAATTACTTAAAGGCTCATCTCTTCAAGCTTTCACCTGAACAACTGCCATCACCAACCATCAAGCTGAACACGCTTCAGCTTCATCCCTCTTGTTCATGTTAGGATAAATTTAAACTGGAATACGGAGTAACGTTGAAAACATTTGAAAAATGTAAGCTGTTCTCTATTGTTGATCTCTACTGCATGCCCCATGCTGCACATCCATTGAAGTGATCCACAACAGTGCACAACAGAAGAGATCTCTGCCCACAGTCAGCACCCACACAGGAGGCACCGGTATGGACAGTAATGACAGAGCACATCCTTCCTTCCTCACTCCCCAGGGCCTCTGCAGCATGCCACGTGCATGTGAGATACCTGCCCAACCTGCTTTTTTCCAGCTGCGCACCAGCAAATTAAAGAAGTGAGTGACTGAGTTTATTTAAAGCTCGGTACGCCAGAGAACTAACGCAGACTTTTCTGACATATCGTCACCCGTCAACAACAGCTTGCGGCTCTATATGTGAAACATGATCTGTTATGTACATTTCTCTCCTCAAGCAAAGGAACAAAGTAATAACTGAGGCGACGGTTGCTGTCAGATAGGATAAGAACTAAAGGGACTAAATGGGATAAAATGTTCCACGTCTTACTTTCAGGCATGATGTGATGCATAGCTACGGACAGAAAGAAGATGGCGTCGCTGTAATAGGCTCCGGAGCCAGCGCTGAAATGCTTCTGCATGGCTTCCACAATAGGGAAGAGCTTCTGAGTCAGAGCCACGACGTCATGAAACACCACCTGCAGGAAAATATGAACAAAATTGAGTCGTGAAAGAAAGCTGGGAAAATAATATCGTTTTCAACAACTGGTGCAGCTTGAGGCCACTGTCTGCATTGGACAGGTTTAGTGAGCTCATCACCTTTAACTTCCCCCGCTTACCGTGTCGGTAACTGTCTACTCAAATGTTTATGTCATACTGAAATCCATTTACAGCACACTAAGCTATTTGGACTAAATTATGACAAATACTTGAAGCAGTGAGCAATGCTGAGCTACGCACTGTGATAAGGATCAGGGGTGCATGGGATATTTTCTAAGCAGAAGATCTGGACTTGAGCTAATGTGAAGTAAAGTAATGAAGAACCTGCCTATTAGAATGACCCAATGAAGTAACGCTGACTCCACTATGGAAGTTCTGCTGAAATCTTTCCGTTTTGGTGATTTCAGTTCAGACGATGGCTGCAAACAGCTGCACCAGTCCACGACCCAAATTCCATTAGGTGCTGCCTTCTTATGCCCAAGTTTCCCTTCATGCTGCCTCTGCAAGCTTCAAATCCCACAACATCTTGTACAGTAGATATCTCTACAGATTAGGGCAAGAGGATTTTAAAAAAATACACTAAGTAGTGATTATCATTAAAGTGTTCTTGCAGGAGGAAAAATAAGTAAGTCGATTTGGGCTGGGCTACTTTCTGTTAAGGCCAGACACGTGTCAGTGTGGCGAAAAGAAGTCTTAACCCGTTGCAATTACCGGGACTTGTGCACTGCAGGGTTAGACGACGTGCATAGAGGTTTTTAAAGTAGAATAGTAAGCAGAGACTTCAGATATCAGGTCCTTTTTTTCCTCTCTTTAAAAAAAAATGAAACAGGCTCCCAGTTTGGATTTAGGAAACAACACTCTCTTACAAGATTAGACTTAAAATGATCCTCTTTGATAGCAGATATAGTTAAGACTGCATCAGGTGACCCTGAACCATCCCTTAGTTATACTGCAACAGGCTTAGGAAGCTAGGGGACTTCCAACGAGCTACTGAGTGCTTCTTTACTCACCTCTTTTCTCTCTCTTTGTGTTTATACTTTTGCATTTTATCATGATTAATGATTAAATGATTCAATTAGCAATTTCAGCTCTCTCCCATGATGTCCCGTTAGAGGTTTCTTCCTGTTAAAAGGGAGTTTTTCCTTCCTATTGTTGCCAATTGCTTGCTCAGAGTCTCCCCTGATTGTTGGCGTTTTCTATTCTCTCTAATATTGTAGTCTCTTCACCCTACAATATAAAAAGCCTTGAGGCGACTGTTGTTGTGAGCTGACGATATAAATAAAACTGAAATCTTAAAGCTTCAGGCAGAACATTTCATCTGTCGATAACTTGCCGTTTTAAAGCTGAACAGAGCAAAACAAGGATAGGACTGAGCAAATAAATAATACATCCTAAGGTAGCCCTGCCCTAAAGCCTCCCCCATCATAATTTACAGTTACAATTACATTGAATACAACATGAAAGCATTGACTGAGACCTTAAATCTATCAGCATTCACTGAGGTCACAGATTAAAGGAGCTGTATGGTGTTTTTCCCACTAAAGGAATTAAAGGTTTAACTGTTTTCAACATACAGACGATATTTGATGACCTCCCCTGTACCCTTAAAGACGAGCTCTGACACCACAGCATACATCAAAGTTGTAGTTTTAGTCCATTAGTATAGTTTCTGGGTTTTCTCTCCGTTTTGGCCTCCCGTCCACACTGAGACGGTGTTTTGGCTGATGGAAAACGCAGCGTTTTGAAAACGCTCTTGAAAACGCATACATTTGGAAACGGTGCTTTCACGTTGCAGTGTGGACAGCAAAAACGCAGACTTTCTAAAACATGATGCAGTCATGTGACCAATTAAACTAAGATAGCAGAGGGCGTTATACAGCAGTTGTTTAGCCCTATTAAAGATTAATATCAGTCTGTACGTGCTCCAGATAGCTTTTCTTCAAATTCTTTAATTCTCACTCGCTTTTGCAACTTTGTACTTTCGTGTTACTCGCAGCAACAACTCCACCTCATTGTTAGTCCATTTTAAAAACTCGCTGCTTTTCCTCGACATTCTGCCGCGACGCTTCAAAGAGCCGGAAAGTAAATAAGCGGCAGACAGAAATGAGGCAGGTCGAATCTTCTTGCGTTTCACACATTAGTGATGTGCGATACCACTGATTTCCTTTTCGATCCGATACCAAGTAAAATCCAGGGTGGTATCGATGATACTGATCCGATACCGATACTCTGTACAAACACTTAATGTTTCATTGTATTTAATAATACAATATATAAACTGCATTATGTAATTGTAATAATAATATGGCATCATAATGATTACATTACTTGCTCTTATAGCTTAATGATGCAGAATAATCCTATAGAGATAAAAAACCTGAAGTTGTGCACTATTTGAGCATGTTGCCTGCCTGCAGCACTAAAGGACTCTGTGAGAGACGTCTGTCTCGCCCTATCAGCACCTGTCCCTGTCCACTCCTCCTCTTCGGTTCGCCTCCACATAAGCTCATCATATTCTGTGATATGATTTACTCTGAGGTGTTTGACGAGGTTAGTGGTGTTGCCACAATACCTCACTGTCAATGTGAACGCACAACTCTGAAAACGACTGAAAACAGTGTGGACGCGGAGCGTTTTCAAATCTATCCGGGCTAGTGTGGACGTAGCCTTAGAAGGCCGAGAGGCTTTCAGGAGGTAAAGAGTTTTGGGGTTAAATGTATTGTTCAGGTGGATTTGTGAAGAAAAGGAAAGAAAAAAGGTCATAAAACGTCCCAGGTAATCTATATTGGTACAGGGAAACCTTATCAATTCCCAGTGCAGGCTTATGTGAAAGTACTAAAATACTGTGTCCTGGTTTAATGAACAGTAGTTATTTTTGCAACACACCCAGTTCCAACTTTCAAAGCCCCAAAACTTCACACTGTTGTGTATGTTTATTCTGACACTCGGACTCATAAAATCTTACCTGTGGCACATAAATGGAAAGCCAGAGAGTTTTCACTTTTGTTTGACCGACAAAAACCAAGCAGAGAAACTCGAGCACATCATTCGAGCTCTGATGTTTTAAAATATCAGTTGATCGAGTAATATTAGCAGTGAACTTGAAAGGCTGGACATGTTTGGCAGCCGCCGTGTTGCTTTTGAAGGCGTGCCAGGACTGAGCAAAAGTTCCTTTTTTGACTTCTGTGGCCTGACTTGAGCAGCGCTCCCTTCAGAGAGCACAGAGCTTGAAAAGATTCGGACTTTGCGCTTACTTAATGAGCAATAACATGTTTTTGAATGAAAAGCTAGAGAAATGATGAACATATGTAACATAAACATGGAGGATGGATGCTTACAAAGTGGATTTAATAATGTGGACACAAAAGTCTCTGTCAGTATGACATTAACTTCAGGAATATGAGACATTAACCTCGTCCTTGAACCTGAACTTTACAGGATAAATAGAAATCAGTGACCTCAAAAAGCCTTCTTGAGTTTTATTAAATCCATGTTATGAGTTGATCTTGTGCTTCCTAGATCCTCCTGAGCGACTTGTTATTGCCTTTTATGTCCTCTTATCAGCTGCAGAATACTAACACATTGTACAATGGCTCTGACACAAAAACACTGCCATTAGGACGCAGATATTAACCCAGGAATTATATCACAACACTGCTTAATTCCCGTGAGCTGTTAGCACTGCATGAGACACTGCTCAAGTGAGTTCCATGAAATATGGTTAGGGAGTAAAGTGCGTAACCTCTAGGCAGCGTGACTCTGCAGTCTCTCTGCTGCAAATGTCAAGTGGGCCATTTAATGTGCTGCTGCTGGGAAGCAATGTAGCCTAAAATACATACTCATCTAATCCTCGTGCTCCTTAAAGTTAAATCATTAACAGGAATGAGCCTCAAGATGAGCAGACAAGGATGTCAACACTGCCCTTGTCAGACCCCGAGGAGTCTCTGTCCCATCTAAACTGCTGGTATACGTTTCTGCCGCTGTCTCTAAGCAGGAGAGACAGCGGCTGTACTCGTGGCGGTGACGGCAGAAGGCAGTTTTATGATTCATGATCTAGAAACGTGTTTTGTTTTGTTTTGTTTTTTTTAATCGCTGGTCTGGAATGATATTATGAGACTGATGAGAAAAAAAAAACGACTTTGAATGTATGGAGCGTGTAGCTTGGATTAAAAAAACAACAACAACAACATAAAGCACTGTCAAGATGTGTTTACATCAGACTAAAGGTGAGAGGGCACTGCAGTACAGAAAGTACAGAAACGTCTTCACGTGAGAGCATACTGAGAGGAAACCAGGGGAGAGAGGAGCATGAAGCATACGTGGCAAGCCAGAGATGTTTGAGATAATTGCAGATTTGGGGAAGAGGTGGCTGGCCTGAAAATCTGTGCACAGCAGATGAACAGTATCTGAAAGTCATGTCTAAAAGGGAAAAAAACAAAGCAGAAAAGACCTGAAACAGGACCTGAGAGATGGATCTGGTGCTTAGTCGATCCATCTACCATCACAAACAGTCTCAGTGGAAGGGTGGCTGTAATGAAAGGAACAGGAGGAAAAGGCTGAAATACGTCAAATTACACAAGAACTGGACTGAAAACCAGGAGGTCAGGAGAGAGGTACAACAGTGGAGCTGCATTTCAAGCGAAGGTTTTGGGGATCTTGTCAAAAAGTGATGGAATCGTGAATGCAGAAAAGTGCAGTCAGACTTTGCTCCACCATTCAAAATCATCTGTGAAGTCTCAGATTGGCAACTTTAGTTTTCAGCGTGACAACGATCCCCAACACACTGCTAATGTAATAAGAGCAAACATGGAGAGAAAAACACATCAGTCATCGATTGGCCTCCGCAGAGCACAGACCTTAACATTATTGAAGCAGTGCGGGGTCATTTTGACAGGGAGCAGAACAAAGAAGAACTCTGAATGTCCTTTAGAAGCCTGAAGTCTACTTACAGAAATGGGCAGACAACTCACCCAAGTGATTTCAGGCTGCTTTGAAGATCGAACAAATACTGACTTTGAAGCTCATTAGAATTGTTTTTCCCCTTCTATGCTGTACTTCCATGTGTGTTTGCACATGTTTCAATGAATCCGTGCACCCATTTTCCTACCCAAATATAAAGATATGAGTGGTGGCTCAAGACTTTTGCACAAAACTGGATCTGTACAGTAAGAAGGACATAGAACTGTGACAGAAATTGTAAATGCAAAAGGAAAAGAAAATACCCACAAGTCAGGTTTAGCATTTCCGCACCAACACAGAGGAACTCTTGTCTGACCAAGTCCCTGCTAATGCTTTAAGCAAATATAACCAAAAATGGGTTTTTGACACAACATTTTTCTAATATCCATGCAGCAGTCCTCTGAGGACTTAGCTCTGCATAGTAAAACTTGTCCACTAGAAAAGTCTGAGTACGGTCTGATTGCAAAAGAATCATTTGAACGGGATCCGATCCAGCCTGCAGCCACTAAACTGCCAAGATCCCAAGCCGAGCAGATCGCTGACCAATCCCAGCAGGAATGCGATCAGCCTAAGATAAAAGAGCAGTGGAACATCCACAGCAGAGGTTTTATAAGATGAGACATTCCTGAGAAAGGAGGCCCTGCCTGTCGAGGAAGATCTGAAAAGGGAGATTGTAGTTTGTAAGCCAGTTTATGATGGTGTGCTCTGTGAGAAATACAAAACAGGAGAAAGTGGGTAAAATATGCATGTAACAGAAAGAGCACAAGAGGGGGGAAATAATCCTGTTTTTTGGCAGGAAGAACACAATAAGGGAGGGATATTCCCATGTGTGAGGCATCAGCTTGGCAGGAAAACACTGCCCCCCTGTGTTTCAACTGTAAATAGCAAGTACAGCCAATGTGTTTCTTAAACGGAAGGATTTTTGATTAAAAGGTCAAGTAGCTTCACAGGAAGCGCACCAGTTCTATTTAGTGATTAGTCAAGGTGTTACAAAAGTTAGACATTTCTATCAGAAGCTCCCTTTAAAAAAAAACAAAAAAAAAAAACCCTTCTCACTCATTCAGTGCAAAAATATAAATACCATCCCAGAAAGTGTGTGTGGATCATGAGCATTTTGGGCTCTAAAAATAGGATCTGCTACCCACAAGAAGAATTTACATAAACATATTTTTCCCTCCCCATTAGAAATAGAGATATCTTAGAAATATAAATCAAGCTGAACACAGTCTGTCAAGTGTTTAACTGCATAAATCACTTACTCCTTTGTTTTGTTATTAACAAACTAATATGTCAAAATAAATAGATACTTGGTCAGAAACACTAATAAATAAGTTAACGGCATTTACTGGAGTGAGTGTCGAGAAATACCTCGTATTTAAACGTTGTGTCAAGGAAAAGCTCCAGCAGCATCCTCTTGCCCAGTTCTTGGCTGGCCTGGTCACTCACAAAGTGGAGAACCAACACCTCTCCTTCCAAGAAGTGTCCGTGTTTTACCATGGACAGCATGGCCACTCGGAATTTATCCTGCAAGCTCCGGCTCTTGTCCACTTTGGTGAACATCATTAGCACGTGGTAATGTTGGTAAGCAGCCTCACTGTCCGCTTTCCTGGACGTCAAAGCGTCGCCGTCTTCTTCTACACCTCGCTCTTCCCATCCTTGCTCCTTTGGCTCGTCCGGGTGCGAGAGCCTGGTGTCCACGGTGAGGTCTGCATCGTTTCTGTTGGTGTTGTGACTGGCCTGGGTCTGCTTGATCCTCTTTGTGGTGCTGGAGAAATTCTGCCTCTCTGAGCCAAAGTAGTAAAAAGCTACAACAGCGAGTGCAGCAGCCAGGAGAAGCACCAGCTGATAGGACCTGAATGTACTGATCCTACCCATGATTCTGGCTACTACCCTTAAGAAGCCCATAACTCCCTGCTGGCGTCATGAGAACGGGAGCGTGAGTGGGAAGATTTTCAGCATTTCATGATCTTTGATTTCATAGATTTTCCACATTCTCCTGCAAGAGTAACAAAAACAAACATCTGCTTTAGTTTTAAGCTTTGGGGTGGACCATGAAACTAAATATCACCTATCAGCCAAATCTAAGTGAAGCATTAAGATTGATGATCTATTCTGGCTAAGCCATTAAAAGATCTTATTTCCATGGTCTTATAAATTCATCTTTGAATGTTTTTCATTTTAATTTAATTTTTAATTATATAGCACCAAATCACAACAACAGTCGCCTCAAGACGCTTGAGCACTGCTATTCCAATCCTGGGATATGCAGCAAGATCCAGAGTAGAGTCGGTGTTGGGCGGCATTATTATATTTCAATAATATTAGCCCCCTGAAAAACTGACCATACCACAAACCACTGCTGTGCTTTAACTTTGTAATGCTCAAACTGAGGCTTGTCTTTCAATGTGACACAACAGTGCTGTCAGTTGAGAAAGCATCACGCCAAAAACAAACAAAATCAGTTTATAATTTAGAAAAAGAATTGTTTATGCCCACAAAGCAGGAGATGGATACACAAAGTTATCACAGTGTTTTCAACTGCGAAGAAACAGAAAAGTGAGAAGTTGCATCAAAAAATTCAAAGAGAGTCACAGAGTACAGAACAAGCCTGGCAGCCTGTGAAAGGTTTCAAAGACTCTGGAAAGAGAACAAGTGAGAGATGTGTCTAAAGACCCCAGAACAACTGCCAAGGCACGAGTGAATGACTTAGCCAAGTTGGGAATTGTATTCTCAAAGAAGAAAATCAGCAGAACCCTGCAAAGGAATTGGACTGCATGGTTGAAGATTAAGAAAAACTTGACTTCGGATGAACAGATATCCTTAAGACAGACTGAAGTGTACTAAGAATAACCCGAAGAAAGATTATGCATAGTAGAAGCGTGTCAGGTGAGAAGAAACTAGAGCACCGAAGTAAACATTACAGGCTGGTCTGCACAAAGCCTGTGGGTTGAACTGAAGACCAAAGTCCATGCCAAAAGACCATCAAAATCTAGAAACTCACCAAAGAGAAGAATAGGCTGGGATTGTTGAAAACTACAACACACTATTACCACCAAAAAAAAGACTATTATCATCAAAGGAGCTATTAATTTTGACCCCGGTAGTTGTTTGTTAAAGTAAGATCATGTAGACATCCCAAATAAAACTAGGGTGCTTGGAAAATCTGCTAAACATTCCTTGTCCTGTTTAACAGCACTTAGGAAATACTTAAAAAGGCAAAATCTTTCATATAGGGGCTAGTAATTCTGTGCTCATCTATGCGAGTGTCTTGATTTTAACATGTTATTCTTTGGATCAGTGCATTACATAAAGAAAATAAATCAAATTAAATATTGTTGTTGGGCAAACAGTGATTATATTCAATGTAAACACCAACTCTAACTCCAATGATACAAAATAAAACACAGAAGTGCATCCACTTGCCTGTCTCATGTTCTTGATCTCGGTGGTTCAACCATATCAGCTTATCCAGGGAGTAAGCTGTCCTGAGATCTCCTCGGTTTAAGTGGCAGCTTCTGTCTCATTTACTAAATTGCCTCCTCACGTTTTGAAAGATAAAACTAAGACTAACACTACGGAAACCTGTTGACATCCCGCCTAAAACGGGTGCTAAGCTAGCCAGCAACGTGCCTAGATGTGGGTCGTTGAGTAGCCACTACAGCGATGATTTTTCAGCACACACATCAAGAGAATTAATCAGGGTTTGCTTGTTAAAATTTTCGCTGTATATGCGCAAATCGCTGTCGCCTGAAAACGATTTGTGTATAATAGCATAGTTTAGGGTAAGGAGGTAATAGACTGCACTAACATCAGATGGAGAAGCCACCAGCTAACAGCCTAGCAACAGAATCATGTGACACAACCTTAAACACACCCACCTGGTTTCAGCCGTATTCCGACTCGTGTTGCCTTTATGTGGTGTAGGAAAAAATAGAGCTATTTACTCTCCAGTGCATTTCTCGTTTCAGCTTTATGAAACACTATTTCGTTTATTTTACAGAACATTAGTCAAGTTTATTTATATATCACATTAAAGCACAACAGACTTTGAGAATTACCTCAAAATGTTTAATTTCGAGATAGGCATCAATACATTTGTGTGCACTACCTTAGATTCCACCTTCAAAACCAAAGTGCCAGGATTTTATTAGTAACACAGTGCAGTCCACTATGATCAATATAATTTTACTCCATCTCTTGAAAAGATCAAACGTACGGCATATATTTTTGACCCTGTGACGACTGTATATGGAGGAAAAATTCTTAAGTACGATTCTACAAACAGTACCTGAAGTATCCAAAGCAACCTCACGACAGTTTGGGCAGTGGCATTGTTGTTCTGTGCTCACTATTGTAGGGCTGTCCGGAGGAAAAAAAAACCCCCAAAAACAAAACAAAAAAAAAAACAGCCACCATCTATCTTTGGGGAAGATGCTAGCTTTTGTGGTCGCCTGATGTTTTTGTAGTTGTGAACGTTTACAGTTTTTGTCTTTTCTGTTTAAGATTCGGGGACGCTGCTAGCATATAGCTAGCTCGACTATAGCACTCGCGAAAATGAATTCCAACACGCACGTAATCCAGGTGACAAACGTTTCACCGAGTACGACGTCCGAACAAATGAGGACTCTGTTTGGATTCCTCGGAACCATAGAGGAGCTCAAACTGTTCCCGCCCGAGTGAGTATTGTGAATTATGAACTGGTAAATTATCCTCTCCTCCACTATCTATGGCGGCTCACGCGGGGCTCTTGCTGAGGCCTACAGCATCGAGCAGGCCTCGCTGCACGGTAGTGCTAATGCTCCCGCGTCTTTATTGAACGTGGCAACGCTTGCTTCTTTCAAATTAGATATGCATGTATTTAACAATACTTCAATTCTTCATCCATACGCATCTGCCGATGATCACATTTGTCGATTAAGCAATCAAAAAAATTGGTAATCGTTTGTGTAAGTCGGTTATCTAACACATACACGGTAGGCAGCTATACATCCTGTTTATCGAGTTATCTGTAATCTCTCCGTCAGAAAACAAAGTCATAAAAATATACACGGGAGAAATAAGCATGAATGGCTTAATTTTAATAATCACCAGAGTTGCTCCTAATTATTTTGATTTCAAGTGGGACTTATGTGGCAGCTTTTCGTATAAAATGAGCTGTTGATTAGCATCCTAAACCAGCGACAGTGCAAAAGAACAACTAATTATGACTCTTAATGAGCAGTGGGACATTTGGTTACACGCCTGGTTGAGCTAAATTGGAATATTTCCTTAGGTGCATGCTTTGTTTAGATCCACAGTGGACAATAATGAGCTACAGTACACACTGCACAGTGTTTTCTTACCTTAATTCTCTCTGTGTTGTGTTTTCTCTGTTGAATTACACGTGGCTACTGGACAGGTATGAAATAATCAAGGTGGTGATTTTCCGGGTAGATGTAGTTGTAACAATTTAGTAACTGTTTGAAAGTTTGATCGCCGCCAGTTTTATACCAGTATTGAGTTTTATCCTCATACTGTGGTGCTAAGGAGTGCAACAGGATCAGAAATGGCTGAAGAAAAAGGTTGTGTGTCACCTCTGGATGATACTGTGTTGTACTATGCAGAGGATGCAGGGAACAAGAGTCACTCCTGTGCTTTCTTGTCCCTGTGGACACAGACTGAGTATGAAGAAGGCATGTTGTCTCCCCTTGTTTGTATTCTTTGCACAACCTATCTGTATTTTCTTCCAGTGACTCTCCCTTGCCTGTGACTTCACGTGTCTGTTTTGTAAAATTCCTTGAGGCTGAGTCCGTGGGAGTTTCCCAACACCTGACGAACACAGTCTTCGTGGACAGAGCCTTGATCGTGGTCCCTTTCGCTGAAGGTGGGTGTCTGTTTTATTCCTTTGGCTGTGGTCATCTCTGAACGTACGTCATAATGCGTAGGTGTATTTGTTAGACTTGCAAACACTAGAGACATTGAGGTTTCTGTTTTTCCTACTGCCATGAGAAAGCAGCTAAGCTTTTCAGTGCTTGGCATTTCTAGGTATGTAAAAGGGAAATGTACATTTGTGTCTGTGTCTTACAATCTAGCTGTAAACTTCTCTCTCTGTTATTTGTGTTGTGGTTTTCATAGTGGACAAGTCATTTGCAGAGAGCCCCTTCCTTGCTGGCTGAAAGTGGTCCTCTGATGCCATCAGGAGATTAGAAAAAATAATGGCACCAATCGCAAGCCCCTTCTCTCTCTTGTTCTGCAGTAAAATATTAACTTTTTTTTCTCTCTGTTCAAGGCATCTTTTTTGAAAAAAGAAAAAAATAGCCTCACAACTGCTTAATCAAATTAGGGGATTTGGGAGGGTGCAGGGAACTCTAATGTCCTCACATGTTGAAAGGATTTTTTATATTCTCAGATACAATGTGTGTCATGTAGTAGGCATTCACCAAACAAGGGATACCCCGAGCAAGTAGAATAGTGTCAAGGCAATCCAAACATATCGGAACCATTTCTGATCCTCTGTTTATATTTTAACCTTCTGCGAATTGAAATTCGGCAGCAATGTGTTTGAATGTTGTCTTAGATACTGTGAAAGCCATCAGATCCACAGTGACATAGCAGTAAATGCTCTGCACATACACATAGGTGTTTCGGTTATTGGTTGATTTGATCATGTTTTTAGGATCGGCTTGGGTTGGGCTGTGATGGTTGGATCGCAAACTCTAGTCCAGTAGGTGCAAGAAAACCAGGAAAAGAGTCAGGGTGAAGCTCCTGAAAACTGGTCTGAGCAGCCTAATAAGAGAAAACACCTGTGTGGATGTTGAATCCATCCCCTTCAAACACGCACACAAGTCTCCAAACTGAACTGACTTTTTTTTTCTTTTTTTTAATGTAAATTTCTTTAGCTGGAAACGTATCACACAGCTACATTAGAGGGAAAATATGAATACTGGATCAAAATTTGGGTCTGTTTCCTTTTGTTAACACTAATCAGACTTTAAACCAATAAAAGAAGAGAAAATGTTCGGGACATCCCTACACCAGCACAAAGCATGCCAAATAGAAGAACTAATCAGCTGTGCATGCTAGACTAGATTTTTGAAGGTGTTTGCCATCATCTGAGTTTTGGCCAGCGGGTGTTGTGGCAGTTAATTCTGATTTGGCTTTTGGTCATAATAAGCACAGAAACTGCCCTCGGCATTTACTTGCTTTATTTTCCAAAGCCTTGTATTACTGTTATTACTATAAATTACTGTATTACTGTAAATTTGCATTCCAAAACTTTCACTAACACAAGAGATAATTATGGTTTTAAGCCTCTTGATGTTGCCGTAAAAATGCATTTTTATTAACTTAATTTTTTTAATTGACCCTCTCCAAACATGACTCTGAACGAGTTGAGTGAATCTCAAGTTTAACAGTGGTGTTTCTTTTGTTGTTGTGTTTTACAGTTCTTTTTCCTGGTTCAGCCAGCCCTATTTACCAGGCCCCGCTGAAAATGCCACCAACAGTTTTGTCTTCTGCAGCCTTATCCTGTTTCTCAAGTGTCCTTTCTGTTGTGTGCGTGGGTGTGCGTGGGTGCATGTCTCCCCCCTCTCTCTCTCTCTCTCTCTCTCTCTCTCCCTCCCTCCCTCTCTCCTCCCTTCATAATGTAAAGAAACATGTCAGATTAAAAAATAGCCTGTTTTCAGATTGCACAGCCATGGATGATCATCTCATGAGATTTTTTTTTCTGTCATTTTTACCGTTTGGTTCTCTTCAGCTTTGGGAATATTTTTCTTATCACTACCTTTGCTGCCAATAGCCTGTAATTGTTCAGTGTAGATTATTGTTTATTTACTATATTTTTTGTGACATACTGTTGGCTAAAACCTGTCAGTACTGTATTTGATTAGCAGTACTTTACCTGGTTGTTAAGTGTTTTTTGTGGTGGGGTTGTATAAAAAAACAAAAAGAGAGAGAACCCACCAGAAAAAGGCTAGAAAAGGTCAAATGAGTAAGCCTTTTCTGTTTTTTGTATTGGTAATGGTAAGTGATGTTGAAATGTACCCTTGTGTCTACACCCAAATCATGAACTTTGTTTTCTGTATCTCAATGTTTTTGTGTGCTTTATAGCGAAGCAGCCGGCGCGAGTCGCTTGTTCATAAAACATCTAATGAAAGTTGAGAGCACATCCCACGGGACAACTGGCTGTGCTTGCTTACGTTTGGTTCATGACTTAAAAAACAAGTACAGGTGATAAAATCTTGGCAGTGTTGACCACAGTGTGTATTGTGACTTTGAAACTTATAGCTGCTAATCCTACAATCATATTCACAACAAAGCAAAACAGCAACAACAACAACAACAAAAGTCAGGGATCAAGATTTACAGACAAGACAAAAAAGTGGATTTTTGTTTTTCATTCTTTTACTACAGTGTAGTTAGACTGAGGTGGCTTGTCTGCAAGTCTTGTCTGAGTGTTGTCGACGTCGTCTTTGAAGATGTACTGAGATGTTCTTGGTTTTTCCTCCAGGAGTCATTCCCGATGAATCTAAAGCTATGTCGCTGTTGGCTCCAGCCAATGCTGTGGCAGGAATGATGCCCGGTGGAGGCCTTCTTCCGACACCGAATCCTCTGGCATCTGTGAGTTTTTACATTTTCACATAACATATCATACAATAATATTTAACTGTTATTTGATCAGGGGAAAAAGATATTTTAGATGTTGATGATTTTCTAAAACTGCTCCTACCTTCTCTGCAGCCATCAATCAAAATTTAACTTGGAAAAGGGCATGAATCTCCCTTATTGCAATAAACAAACACACAGCAGGCTTTTTTTCGTCTTGGTGGGGATATTTGGTAACATTTATGTCTAAAAGCACAGTAATTCATTCAAACTAAGCAAGCTGCTGGTGGTTCAGAGTTAGCAATGCTACTATTTGATCAGATTTAGCTACTGGACCACAGATTTTGACTAGCAGGTGCTTGGAGCCTGCTGAACACACTTTTCTCTGATCCATCACAAAGCCTTAGGCCCATTTGCAAGCACCCCTCTTCTTTCTAAAGCACAATTATCTGAAAATAACAAAAACAGTACATCTGAAAGTATCCTATTAAAAAAAAATCCCCCCTCCAAAACGTTACATAAATAAAGCGTGCTATGCTTTTTACCTCTACAATATATTCTAGTGTCTATGCTCCACATTTCAGATGGGAGCGACACCATTTGGCGGTCTTGGAGCTCCTAGCATTGAGCAGATGGCTGCTATGGGAATGCCCGGACCGAACATGAACCCCCAGGTGAGGATCAGTTACCTTCATAGCGCCGTTTAAGTTCAAGAAAAAAGTTCTTAGTTCTTAAAATCATAGTAATATCCTTGTCTTCCTTTCTTTCCAGGCTCTTTCCGCAGATTTCCTGAAGCTCATGCAATCCATGGATCCCAAGTAAGAAAAGTGCAGACACAGACGGGTTGTGCAGTCCAGTCAGCATACATATTTATTTGAGCAGTGTCTAAATAATTGATGCCATTTGCAGATTGAACCTTGCAGCTGGATTGAACTTGAGTCCAGGGCTGAAGGCTGATGCATCGAATAAGGAGATTGAAGAGGCCATGAAGAGAGTCCGAGAGGCCCAGTCTCTTATTTCTGCAGCTATTGAACCAGGAAGTGAGCGCGGTTTCAAAGCACGCTTCAAATATAACTGTACCAGAAATACTTGCTTCATATAGATTACGTGTTATCGGAAATTACTTCTCAGTTTACCTGTTTATTGATGTTTAGAGAGCAGTAAGTAAATGTATAATACATGTATAACTTTGTCTTTACTGTTGCAGGTAAGAAAGATGACAAGCGCAAACATTCCCGCTCCCGTTCGCGTTCACGGCGTAGACGAACCAGATCTCGTTCAAGACACAGGTAAAGATGCGTCTACGGCAATGTCGGGTGAAGCCTTTTTAGTTTCATAATTAGTATATTTTTGAATATTAATTGTTTGTAAATGTGCTGCTGCTTATTTTGAGCAGACGTTCGAAGAGCAGATCTCGGCGTAGGTCTCATTCAAGGAGCAGGAGGAGGTCCAAGAGCCCACGGAAGAGGAGGTCCTACTCCCGGGATCGAAGCCGTCGCAGTAGATCTAGGTCAGCTGTTATCCTGAGGAGCAAAATGGCTCCTGTGTTTCATTTCATTCAAAGTGTGCTTGGAGACCAGAGGTTGATCATTTCAAAATTGAAATTTGTCAAAAATATTTTTGAGCTTTAGTTTTTAACGTTGGCAGTGGGCAGCTCCAGGTTTTGAGACTTTTCAGGCATGAAAATGTTTGGTAATGTTTTTGTTTGCTTTCATCTCGTACAGAGACAGGAGGAAGGAGGAGAAGTCCAAGAAAAGATCCAAGACTCCCCCCAAAAGCTACAGCAGTGCCAGGAGGTCTCGGAGCATTAATCGGTGAGTAGTCTTGAATACGGTGTGATAATATGATGAAATGCAGGTGAGCCAATTTACAGTGTGAAAGACCAGAAGCTCTAACTCTTCTATAGACAGCAGAAAATCAAGTAAGTCCTGAATAAATGATGAGGATGTTTTTATGAATGTTACTTATTTTTACTCCTTTGTGTGTCTCAGGAGACACAGGCGAAGTCGCAGTGCTTCTCGCTCCCCTAAGAGAAGGGTCTCCAGGTCTCCGTCCCCCAGACGGTGAGCTTTCTCCATCTGATGTACAATGAAGTTTATTTAATTTTGAGTGCCACAGTTTAAAAATATTTTTGTTCTCTTTACAGCCACAAGAAAGAAAAAAAGAAGGACAAGGACCGTGAGAAGGAAAGGGACCGAGACAGAAGGGAGGACAGGGACCGCAGCAGAGACGAACGCGAACGCTCCAACAGTAAGAAAAAAAAGAGCAAAGACAAAGAACGAGATCGGGACCGCAAGTCCGACAGCGAGAAAGGAGATGTTAAGGTATGTAGAGCAGGCACTGTTTAGAGACAGGTGGCTGGATGCATTACTCTGCTCGTCATTAACGTGATTAAATGCGGCACAGGTGACTCGGGACTACGATGAGGAGGAGCAGGGTTATGACAGCGAAAAAGGAGAGGAGGAGGAGGACGAGAGGAAGAGCGACTCTGACTCAATCTCGTCCCCGAAAAGCCAGGAGGAGATGGAGAGATCTGAGGGTCAAATCCCCAAAAAGTCCAAACTGAATGGAGATGATCACCACCAGGAAGACATGGAGATGAGCGACTAAAAACGTCCAAACCAGATAGCATCGTCTTTTCACTGTCCTTTTTATATTTTTAATATAGGCCACGATATGTCTGTGCCTGATCGCTCCAAGTTAAACAGATTTTGTCTTAACTGTAGAAACACTGCAAAGGAGGGTGGGCAGTGGGGTGTACGGAGGGGAGGGGGAGGCAGAACTTTTGTAAAGATATAAGAAACAATTACTAAAATATGAAGAACATGAAACCTGGTTTTAAATTGTCATTGCTGTACTTTTTAAAGATTTTGTCATTGGAGTTTGTTTGTCTTTCTGACAGTAGAATACGCAGCGTTTTCCTCTAAAAACGCAGCATCTGTAAATATTTTACTGGTCAGGACTTTGTCCTCATTCACACTGCTCGTTGTTTGCCACTCACCGTTTTATTTTTTCCAAACGAACCGTTTTGCTTTAACTGTGTAACACACCCAGCTGTGTTTCATCTCTACTGACCTATTTACAACCCTTTATTATTGTACATTGTAGACTGAAATGTGTTGTGACAATGAAATATGTTGTCTGCAATAGAATTTCCAAAGGACACAAATAAAATTGGGGTAAACTGTCAAGTTGCGCCACAAGGGTCCTTATTTTGAAAAATAATTGCTACGATGGGATTTATTCTGTGGTTATGTTCTGGGTGCCTGGCAACTGTTAACCTTCACTCAGGTGTTGTCACGTTATGGTTCAGTCCTAATCTCTACATTCATGGAGTTTCTTTCCACTGAAACCTGAGGGATAAACTATACATGCTTACTGTTGCCATGTACAGAGACTTTGCCTGAGAATTAAACAGCTCAGTGCATTGTGTGTGTGTGTGTGAAAGAAAAGTACTAAATTAGAGGCATGCATGTAGTGGTGTGGAGAAGTCATGAGCCAGCCAGTAATAAATAAATATTTTATTTCTCTCAACCACTTACTTTGCAGTAGTTAGAACTGTACAGAGGGTGGGGGTGCCACAATTTATATTTGTAGATAAAGCCTTCCTCCTGCACATATTCTTTATAAGCCCCTCCCACCTCAGGTGCAAGTGCTTGTTTGTCAAAAGTAATTTAATTCTTAAACTCTTGAAACAAAGAGTAACCCTTGAAGCTTTTTTTCCCTGAACTGGTGGGTGTCTGACTGTTTTAGGCTGCGTATAGAACAAAATAACTGAATGTGCATCAGAAATGAGTGAGGATGGTCTCTGCCTATGCAGCTACCCTTGGAAAAACCTGGTAACTGTTCCAATGGTCATCAAACCACATCTTTATCGATATGTACTGAGGTGTCAACACTCACCATTAAGGGTACAGGACAGGTCGTCATGTTTTACTTTATATATCAACTTTTTCTCTTTTTTTTTTCTGCTTTGTTTCAGAAACCACGTGAACAAAAATATTCTGAAAGGCTGCTGCGGATTCTCTTTTCTGCCCAGTCAAGCTATAAACCAAACTTTCTATCGCAGCTCCGTTTTAGTTGAACAAAAACTGAAATATTGACTATTTGACAACCATGTCTTGTCCCATTGTCCAGTAAAACGCAAAATAAAGACTTATAAACCCACAAAGGTTAAAAAAGAAAAAAAGAAGAGGAAGTGTAGGATGCCCCAGAACGAGCTCAGAATAAAAGGATACCCAGATGAGGTGTCGTATCCGTGCCACGCATGTTTTAATATGACCAAGTTAGAAAAAACACAAGAGTGCAAACATTAGATATGTGGCTTTTTATTTCGGTACATTTTATATGAAAATAGTGTCGCAGACTTATACAACAGTTTTTGCTGTACAACTGACATTTAGACATGGATGAATCATTTCCTACAGAAAACATGTCAAATCCAATCAGCTGAATTCGGGAAGGAGCATCAAATAAATGTAAAGCATTATGTCAGTGAAGAGGCACACTTCCACTAGCTGCGCCTGCCTGTACTATGGAATGTGAAAAGTCAAACTGCATTTGGTTATCATACTAAATATGCATATGTAAGCACGGTGTTTCAATGATTAGGATGCTGAACAACTCTGAGCCACCAGTACAATAGCAACATCCCACAGAAAGCTGTCTGTATCAACATTAAGAGCTCATGAACCATAGCAGCACCTACGAAGACTCCTTAGAGTTAAACCCTTCCTTCCTTCCTTCCTACAGACTGATATTGAGCTTCTTCACACAGCTGACAGGTTATTGGTTCCACACATCTCCAGGGAGTAGAAAGAAAAAAATCCAACAAAACAATTAAGAGATTCTTTTTTTTTTCTTGTTAAAGCAACATAAGTATGTACAAAAAAAAGCAACTCCCACCATTTACAAACCAACAGTCTCAAATTATGTCACATGATGCATAAAAATAAAAAACATTACACAACTCTTCTTTTTGCAGAGGATGTCTCAAACCCATAAACACGTAGGAATAAAAAAAGAAAGTAAAAGACAAATCAATAACTGAACATGTATTTCTATAGTGTGCGGTGGAAATGCCTGATTTTTGTTAAGTGTAAGAAAAAAAAGGGGCATGAATGCTGTACTTACTGATTCCCAGACACCTGCTCACTGTACAATCCCCAGAGTTCCTCTTTTAGCACAACTGTGCGGTTGGTTACACAGTTAAAAAAGAACAACAAAACAATCTGATGAAGTAAAAAACAAAAGGCTGGGTTAGCCTAACTTACACTGCCCTGTCGCTCAGACTTCGCAGTACCATTAAAATCTGCAGCATCGCTACCACTGCCGCCATTAAAAGTTAATATTTCAAATGCAGGTTTAAAGATTCAGCTTCACAACATGAGTCTAAGAAGTCAGCTGGAAGGCGAGTAGGTGTAGTGGATCCAAATAGTGCCTCAAATATTCACTGACTCTGTGCCAGTAAAAATCATCGCTCACACACACGCACACACACACGCACGCACGCACACACACACGCACACACGCACGCACACACACACGCACGCACGCACACGTTAAAAATGTGCACAGTTAAAGTGGAATTCTACGGAAAACTGATTTTTTTAAGGACTTTTATCTACAAAAAGTACTCAGCTTTATACAAAACAAACTTCTCAAAGGATTATAAAGGCCACCTTAAGAAAAAACTAATTAAATTAACCTCACATCCCAAGAATATCGTTGAGTCAAATGTCAAGCTTATTCTTGGCATTTCAAACTTACATCCAAATTAAAATAACAGACCTTTCACTTTCTTGTTTACTTAACATGGCCGTTATAATCCTTTTTTTTTTTTTTTTTAAGTAACACTTTTTTAGTAATAATTCGACCCCTTTGGACATTTACATTTCATCCTTAATCATTAAATAGGAATAGTCTAGTGTGTTCTTTAATAGAGTTCTTACACAGGCCTGTAACATAGATTAGGACATAAATTATGATATGTAATTTAATAAATGTAAGATCATAAAATATTTTTTTAAAAAAGGCTGATGATTTTTCACGAGTGTTTTGAAAAGTGAAAAATTGATCTCAAAATCAATTTCAAGTGGAATTCCTCTCCAGCGTCTCTCACAGTCACTCAGTGCTGTAACTACACATCAGTTTAAAACAGTCCCTTTATGAACATTACTTACATACTTAAATACAAAGCATCAGCTGAGCTGCTGTTTTTCGTACTCGTACTGAATATACAGAAAATTCACCTGCTGTGTTGTTTCTCATATTAACTCCAATGCCCCTTCACTGATGAGATTCTCACAGTCACCTGCACTTCCTGCCTCGGACGCTGCATCGAATCAAATCTAAAAGGTAAAGTTCAAACCTGCGACACGAGGAGATGTCGAACAACCCGCTACCTCCGATTTAAATTTAGGTGTGTTAGGCTGTCTGGTCGCCGTCTGTATTCAGAGTCGGGGCGGGCGAGGGGTAGTCGCAAAACACAGTTTTTATTCCTCATGTTTTTTGTTTTGTTTCTTAAATTCAAAAAGTACCCTCTGTAGCATAATGTTGCCTCGTTGCTTGTTTGCGGTTCAGTGTCCAGTGTGTGAGGTTAAAGGTCGGGGAAGCGGCTAGGGTCTTCTTTATAATCATTGGGAATGCTAAAAATGGATTCATCAAACTCATCGTAGCGAAACTCCTGAAACGTCACCGTGGCCGTGATCGTAGGAAACACGGGGATGTCTGCGGGGAGCCGAGAGCACAATTATATGGATGACATGAAGAACACATCACACGAAAAAGTCATGAACATCAATCAGCAGACTACTGTTTGCAACACCATATAAAACTCTGCTTACCGAGCTTGACGGGAAAGCCAGGGGGGAGCTTCATCTGAACAAACTCCCTGAGTTTATTAAAGTGCTTGAAGGGTGCAATCACTTCCAGAACATTCAGTAACCTGAGGGACACGAGAACCCAAATCAACAAACAAAAACAAAGTCTATTTTACTAAAGCATTTAGGTCTCAATGAATGAATAATTTCCCCCTTTATCCCCACTAAACAAGCCTGAAAATACCAATAGAAAATGATGCTGCCTGCTTTTTAATAACCATCTGGAGGGCAGCTTAAATGAAGACTTACGATTCGATGCTCAGAGGGAAGTCTTGACTCATGGCTATTGTGGCTTTGAAGTTTTTCTTGCTCTCCTTGCACACCAGCTCTCTTCCTAGATGAGGAGCTCTGAGACAGAAAATTGTATCCCACGATGAAGGCAGTTCAGTCAGGAAGAGCTCACAGCTCATTAATGCAGACATGGAAAACTACCAGTGTTCTTCCAGTAACTAAAACATCAACCTATGTGAATATTGCATTTGGCACACGTAGAGATTCCTGCTTTATTTATTCCCAAACACTTCAGACACCTACTTTCCATTGTCAGCCGTGATGTATTCTTCCCAGGATATAGTGTTGGGTGACGGGGGGGTTAGAGATTGCCTTCTTGCTGGCTAAAAGTCAGAAAAGAGATTAAAAAAAGGTCATGGTTAGGCTAAAGTGTAAAATACTGAAAGGTCACACTTAAAAACAGTGAGTGAAACTAACAAAAAAAAATGTTAAAACTGATCTAAGTTGTGACAGATGTTTTTTGTCATTACTTTTATATCAACATTAGTGTTTACCTACACACCTTTAATTTTTCCCCGCAGAGCAATGACATACACGGCACATGCCACTAGAGGGCCCCAGCGCATCACTAAGCTGTATACTTTTATGCTGACATAATTAACAGCCATCCAACAACAGCAAAGTAACTTTATATAATAAGCTAAATGTTAGCATAGTATTAAAGCTAAATCAGTAATTACTAAAAGCGGGAATCAACCAAACTTAATCTAGAAAGTCCTGATTCAGTGATGTTAAATCTTTAGTTAATTCAGCGGGTGAGCGTCACAAACGGTCACAGAGAAGAAGAAGGAGGAGAAGGAGAGCTGTTGATGCTGTTGTGCCGGCCTTGAAATTAGATTCTATGTTATTGTTCATGGTTGATAACAACTGTGTGAACCAGTGATCTTAACTGAATAAACAGGAGCTGCACAGTAAACAGCCTTCAAATGTTAAGCTTTGTTGAAATTCAGCTGTAACGCTGCCGTATCAGATTCATTCACCAGATCATTTTTATCAGCTGAAGTGAGTGACTCTCCCCACGAGCAACGAAGGATCAAAGACAACTTTCTTCAAAAGAAATAATTTTTTTTTTAAAAACAAAAAATTGGAAAACGTTTGGCGCTTGGCCTTCTTGATTTAATGTTCTTCTTCGGTGTCAGTTCATATTAAGATTGGACGATCTGTTCTGGATGACTCTGAACTACGAGGTGCTTTGACAGTCTGCTATTCCTAAATATTAGCTCCCTGCTCTGCCAGAGTTCAGATTTTTTTTTAAATCACTATTAAACCAGCCGATCTCTGTTTTGTAAGCTGTGGTTGAGTACGACAACTAGGGCAGAAGAATCTGAAAACAGGTTCTGGATGACGAGACACCTCTGTGCCAAGAGATGGCTGACATAAGGTGTGCAGCCTTATTATGTCCTCTCTCACACTGTGTACCAGGCCTGGCACATTGTTGTGATGAGGACAGAGTACACACAGGCTGTGGAGACCTTGATCTGCTGGCATGCCGGACCTGCTCCCCCATCATTCCACGGCACCGGGAGGGGGGGGTTAGCTTTCATCCGTGCGATCAATAGTGTCCAGCTCTATTCCAAAGCCTCCCACGCTCTGCCTGCGTCCACAGACTGACTTGTTCTCTCCTGCTGTAGTAAACACCGTTGCGTCACAGCAGCTGCTTATCTCATCCACTTCCCATGTATCATTTTCCACAGGTGTGGAGGCGAGACTATTTTCACATCAAAACTAAAACAAAAAATGATATCCCTTCAAACTGTTTTCCCCCCCCCACTTTAAACAAGAGCAGGCACCAATTCACATCAGCACAAAGTTCTGACAGACAACAGAGAACACTTTGATGAAACAAAGCCCAACACAGAACACAGGACGGTCAAAAACAGAACAAAAAGCCGTGAGCGTCCATTGTGTGTCGAGAGGCTTTATGTTCACAGAGTGGTTGTGTTTACGGCTTCCTCTCGAACATACTATAGTGAGGGGATGGTGGGTGAGCGATGAACAGCTTAGTAGCTTTCACCACTGGGGGGCAGTGGTAGAATTTGAATCCATGCAGAGTGGCTCAGGGGCATTTGTTCATTCTGTCTTCAAACAAATAAAAACATCAAAAGGAACATTAGTGGGGATCCAGTCAGGAATTTTTCAATAAACCATACAAAGTGGCTCGACAGGGTCCGTTTCTGTAGGATTTATCTTTGTATGGACACGGGGGTGAGGAGTACTGTGAGGTTTATTTTGTCTGAGAGGCTCGTGTCCTACCCCAATGTTCCAGCGGGACAGGACAGTTTCAGGATTGGACTGGTGGTTACGCTGCAGGTATAAGTAAAGACAATGTTTATCGACAAAGTGCTGGAGGTGTACAGGTGCACTTGATACACAGGTGCACTCGAGGATTCATGTTAGAACAAACTGACCCAAGTTAAAGAAAAAAAACTGTAACACAAATTTAACGACTTTAACTTCACTGCTGAATGAGAACCTGTGGGAAAATGAACTAGAGAAATGTAAATTAAGTACATTTCAGTGCCCATCAAACCTGCAGCACTGTATCTCCCTGTAGAAATAAAAAAGGTTAAAAGAAGTATGGTGACAAACGTTTAGTGATAAAAACTGCATTTCCTGGCCCAAACAGAGTCACCCTTCATAGATTCAGATGTTAAGCACCTAACTTCAGTTTACTACCACAAACCTTTGGTCTCCACTTCCCTTTTCATAAGCGAGAGGTCTTTGTTAAAATGTACTTAACTCACCTATTTAAATCTTATCAGGACCTAAAGTTTGAATTATTGGGAGCACGACCACTTTGAAGGACGCCTGGATGCCGTTACAGGCAGCTGCAGCTGGTAGCTGTCTGCCAGACTTCATGTCTCCAAATTCAAGTCACTGAACTGGACCTCCCGACTATGATTGTAGTGCTTGTGTATTTTGGCTTGATGTGCGGTTAACTTTACAGTCTGTCCAAGAAGTCTGCTGGATTCTAGCAGGATACTAGTTCATTTGATGACTGTTATTGTGTGCTGCTGCAATATAAATAAACTTGAACTGGAATGTTGCATAGCACTCCATAACTCTGTGCCTAATAATATGGATGCAGATAGCTAAGCAGCTTTTTGGCCATAGCTCATAACTTATCAATCCAACCTCTCGTCTAAATATGCTGAAGGTTGGCTCTAAAGAATTGACATGTGATGCTATAATGCTAAAGTTAAAGCTTCAAAACAGGACTTCAACTGCACATAAAATAGGCATAGCCACAGGAAGACTGTTTTTGTTTTTTTGGTTTGTGAAGTTATCAAACAAAGACACATAAATCTTTATTCATGTCAGTGATGCTCACCTCAAAGTTCTGCTCTATGAGGTTCCCTCCTTTGCTCAGACTCTCCATGATGGCTTTGTTCCTCAAGATGTCCTCCTCGCTCAGATGCTCTCTCCTCTTCCTGGACTCGAGCACCAGGCCGTTCACAGAGTAGAAATCGGCCAGAAAGTTTCCCACGCGCTCCTGGAGATTAATAAACAGTTAGATAAGTTCCCCCCTGCCACAGACTGACCAATTTCCCTTTCAAACAGAAGTCAAAAGGACAAAGGATTGAGAGGGCAAAAAGCAATACTGTCATATTTCAGTCACTAACTCCACACTGCCAGATTTGTCTGTGTTGTTTTGAACCCCAATCCTGTCACCTGAGCTCCCTTCCTGGGGTCATCACTGCCTCTCTGATGTATTTACTGCCTTTCCTTCCTGGTGTGGGGGTTACAACAGGAAATATGATATGTTGGCACTGGAATTTGAAATTGCCAATAAATAAAAACGATGAAGCTAAAGAAGAAAAACACCTTTGTTATGAATTAACACTGAATAGTTTACCACCGAACGCTCAAATTTCCCCGTCGGCAAAACAAGGCCATCGTCTTATTATTATAGTAAGGACTCATAAATACACACACTTAACAACATTAGCAAAATCTGTTTGTGTTTCATGTGTCTGGAAGAAAAAAAAAGGTTTTGGTATCCGTCCATATATCTGATGATCATCAAATACATGGTATTAAAATCTCATATCGATCAGGCTTCAGATCCGGTCTAAAGGCTGCTGATGTTCTTTTCAGGTCCGGTTTTTTTTAAAGAAAACAGTCAAAAACAAAACAAAAAAACACAACAACCTAAAAATGAGATATTGCAATCAATGTCACGTTACACACTGATATATCTGTGAAACCATAAGTAAAGTTTAATTTCACCAGCTATCCCAGTCAACTGAGTTATAAAGTACAAGAACTGGGTTCAAAAGTTGACTACAGTCGTTATGTCTTAAACTTTTAAAAGTCCCTGAAGGTCCACAGTCAGAGCAGAGTTTCTAAAAGCTGACAAATGACACCCACCGTCTTGTCTTCCCTGAACAGCCAACCAGTCTGCGCCCTAGAGAACGTGATGGATTTGGTGGACAGTGTGGCGGAGTACACGTCGCTGCTCATCAGAATATCCACTTCTTCTTCTGTTTCCATCTCCGACTCCTTAAAGTGTACAATAAATAAATAAATATAGCACATCATTATGCATCATGCATAGTGAACACTGAACAGCCACATCCTAGTGTTGGAAACAATGATGTCAGTCGGTTCCTCCAACTCTTTCTGAAGTGTTTGCACAAGATGTTGAACTGTTGTAGTTTCCCAGAGGGTTACATCTGTTAACATTTAGATGCCCTGACCTTTGGTCTAGTGCTGTCATCAGGTCAAATATTCCTGCTAGACATAAGAAATACCAAAATATGTAGGGACACTGTTATATAATTTACTTAAACACAACTAAACAACTTTAGATTTAGTTGTCTTCACTGTAGAATCACAAACCTGCATTTTTCAAGTCAATGACAAAACTTTAAATATGCTGCTTTGTTCTTAACAGACATCACAAATTAAAGGGCCCCAAGGGTTTCACACACCTCATGGTGTATCCGCTGGTAGACTTTCTGTTCATTATCCAGCACAACAAAAGACTCTGAGGGAATAGCATTGCCGTTAAAGATGAAACTGAGGTCACCCCGCTGGCATTTCATGTCAGTGAAGTCTATCAGGGTTGTATCCAGTCTGCATAAACACATCGTGAACATACACAGAGGAGACAAAAGTCAGAATTATTGTGAGCTCAAGTTAACTTTTCAGGCCAGCAGCACAACCGTGTCAAAACTGTGAGCGAAGACAAAACTGTGCTCGATGTTACACTTTTGAAAGGTCGGAGACAATGTGTATGGTAATCACTGCCACGGGAGTCCAACAGCACTTTTCAAAATTTTCTTTGTGTTGTCAGAGTGGGTAGTCCTGAAATAAAGCGTGACGGCAAAGAGAATAAGTGATCTGCTTGAGAAGAATGCACACAAAGCGGTAGGTGCTACGGGTAGGTATGATAGGCCTGACACACCGTGGAGCTGGTATGTAAATGAACTTGCTGTGACAGTTTTTTTCCTTTCACCCGCTCCGTCTCTCGCTCTCCCTTTTTCTCCCTACAACTCTGGCATAATAAGAGGGCATTTTGAATACCAAATTAGACAGCCAGGAGCGGTTTCACAGAATAATGACAAGCTCCACATCAAGGTTACCTCATAAGGAAGAGTGAAGATGCACACACACACACACTTTTACAAACTCAATTCAATCCTCAAATAGACTGTGCTGATATAAACCCAAACGTAGAGGCATAGGTTTACGTGCGTGATAAAGGGGTGGCAGGATTTGTCATATATGTATGAAAATCTATGTGCATATGCTGTAAATGTGGAAGCCAGCCCTCAAGCCTGCATAGCGTTGGATTTTTGCCTGAAAGGCGCTGGAGCACAGCGGCATATATTCCTACTGTAGATTCACTGTTGAGACTGTGTCAGCATGTGTCAGGGTGTGATGAATTTCTGCTGATGCTCTTTGTAAGTGAGCTACTCAGCACAGTAGACTGTACAGTAGCTTCATCTATGAGACTGTGATTTAAAGCGAAACAGAAGGAAGAGTTGTGCGCACAGAGGGATCGCTGTTCGGCTTCCTCGTACTGCTCATACTGCAGGCGCTGATTTCACACTCTAGTTAACAAAACTGAGAAACTGGAAGTAGAGAAAAGAAAGACGAGTGGATGCTGTGTACAGCAGCAGTTACAAATAAACCAGCAAGCCTTAAAAACAAAGTGCACGAAGAGCAGGCTTTCTCTGGGAAATGTTTAATATGGCAGGGCTTACATCTTCTGGTTTACTTTAACAGGCAGCTTGAGAAGTGACTGAGTTTTGAAATGTCAGAATGCTATTTAAATGAACATTTGTTGACAGGACTTGCCTGATGTTGATGCCTTGTTTGTAGATCTTGCAGGCATCTGAAGGCAGGATTCTGGAGAGCAAAGGCACTGCAACATGAAAAGATACAGTAAGGGTGTGTAAAACGTCTAAATTTAGAAAGCACATTTGAGGAAAAAAAACTGCAGATTTCAAAGCTTTGGTGGCATATAAACCTGGAAACTAGAGTGCCACATACCAGAAGTAGTTCAACAGCTAAATATTTAATAACTCACAGTCCCTATCGTATTAAGTAACTGAAGGCATGATACTCTACTTGCTGCTCCAAAGTACAGAAGAATAGTTGCGCATTAACAAAAACAACAACAGAAAATAAAGACCAGTCAATAAGCAAGATGTGCATCTGATACAAGTCTGTGTTGTTCTCCGAGCACACAAACCTTAAAAATATAACTTTCACTATTACACCATCTCAACTGGCAAAAATATATCCTTATGTAACCATTTTACATTTTGTTACCATCACGTGTGTGTTACATAACCCTATTCACCTTGTCAATAATTCACAAAGACACACTGAGTACACAGAAATCAGCCCAGGCCTACAGTCCTGGGTTTGGTCTGCAAGCTAAGCAAATGCTGATGCTTGAGCTCTAGTGAAGGCATTTCGTCTATCGCCACACACCGTGCTCCATCTGTGAGGTCCGCTGTTATGTTTTACCCGCTGTTATGTTTTACCTGATGTATTAGATCATTAAAGGTGAGACATCCATTTTAAAGGAAGGCGTATTGGCTCATTTCAAACAGGCACTGTCATTTTCAGCTTGACGTCACTCAACGTCCCTCATGATACACGGTAATCCATCCGTAACCACGTGAACACTAAGTCTGTTCTTCTCCCTGAGATTCCTTAGTGTTCGTTTTTCAGAACAATGACATGTGATTCATTTCCACAGTGGATCAAATCTGAGAAACTGTCAAAGGAGAGCAGACAGAGAAACTTGACTCACCCCAACTTTGGAAGTCCCAGTGAAGCTCCAAGTAAAAGTCTCCGAGCTGTGAACACAGATAAAGAAAAATCAATAAGGAGTGAGGCTACGTGTTTCTACTGCTGATTATTATTCCACAGATCTGATGAAAAGGCCGGAAACCCACAATGTCAGAGTCTGTCTCTCAACACTCTCCAACTTCCCTACCCTCTCTGTGCCTCACAGCCACCAGATTGAAAATAAATAAATTATTAAGAATACTCAAAAATAAATAGTACTCCTACTGAGTTACACCACGAGGACGATGGTTTTGATAATGACAGAACAATTCACCCACTGTAACAATAGTGACATAGCGAGCTCTATGCAACAGAAAAATAAATTAAACCACAGACTTGGACACCATATTTGGTTTTATTTAATGAGATTATAAAAGTAGCACGCCAGCGTTTCACTTTACATGAAAGTATAACTGAGCCTCTGCTTCTTTACATAGCAAACCCCACCTCAGTACAGTCTAATTATCTTGTAAGGCTTGGATCACCGCTACGATCGGTGGTCTCAATCCACACGTCAGCAATGATGTCAGGCTGGCCGAGGATCATCACTTCCCAGAGCTTTATAATCTCAGAGAGATGATGACACAAGAAAATCGCCGGTCTCATCATTTCAGGGAAAATACAGCCTTCGAGGTCTGTCAAGTACTTGAGACTTTAAAACTTTTACAGTGAGGGAGGAAGGTCAGGTGAAGTGGTATAACCTCTTTAAACACGATAAAACGCAGAGTTTTATTTGCTCGTGTCCTGTTCTTGATTTCCTCAGCATTACTGCACAGCTGACCTCTTGTTTGATGGCAGATACTCCCTTCACCCTGGCCAAAAAGGCTAAAATGACCAAAGAAAAAGTGGAAAACAGTTAAACATGAGAGGTTTTGGACAAAGTTTGTGTTTTTTCCATTGTTTAAGCACTGCTTCCAGCCAAGAGTGATACCATATACGCCCCATAGCTGCAGAAAAGGCTAACATTGTTATCTTTTTACAAAAAACAGCTGACCATGAGAGGTTTTTGGACCAATTTTGTGTTCTCCATTCTTTAAGCACCGGTTTGAGCACCGTTTGAGCACCGGCACCGTTTCAAAAGTACCGATTTGGCACCGGTATCGGATAAAACCTAAACGATACCCATCCCTAGTGATGTCAGATAAGCATGATATACTTCTGCATTGTTATTTTCAGTGTATGTGTGCAAGGTCAGATAAGCTGAGATAATGCCTGACCTCTCCCCTTTCTGTTAAAAGAGGAAGTACTATGTAACTTACTTTCACTATAAATAAAGCAACCGAGCCTGCACTCGGTGTGTGTGTCTTCTCAGAGGCATTCACCCGTGCGCACGTTTTCTAATACTCTCTGAGTCGGTCTGCAGTGTCTTGTTTCTCTTACTTGTGTTTGAACAAATGTCTACCCCTGACATGTGGTAAGGCTGTGCTTGCAGAATAGATCCCAGTGAAAGGAAAAGAAACAGGACAGAATTGAATGAGAGCACTCTGACAGGTAAAAAGATCTGATGACCATAAAACAAGATATCCCATCAAAGGGTCAGGAGCAGCAAGGACTATCAGAGACATTATAAAAGAGAGAAATGGTACTCGAAAAATCCTGTGGTTTAACCGACACAAATGCAAAGCAGAGACTCACTGCAATTTCATCTGTGTAGTGGCAGGCATATCTATTTGTTACAATAAAAAAAAAAAAAAAAAGGGCTGGTTTTATTGGTTTACTGAATTAATTAGCATGACATTAGTGCTCCGGTGAGAGTCATCGATGGTGTCAGCACTCTGGAATTAGCCATTATGAAGCTGTAGAAGTATAACTTGAAGGTAAAAAGACTTTTTAAAACTTAATTTGAGCAAATGTATTTTTTTAATAGTCCATTGAGTATTTAAAATAAAGTTACGGCTCCAACTCAGTTCGTTCAGGGCAGAGGCTTCAAAATAGCGGCCAAAAAACAAAAAACAAAACAAAACAAAAAGAGGCTGCCAAAGTTGGGTGCAGAGTGGCAAAACTGGCTTCTAGCAGGACTTTAAGACTACGTTACCTCTTTGAGGGCTTTCAGCAGTTTGGGCCTCTTGTCCTCCACGCTCTCCCTGGACTGCTGCTTCAGCTTCCTCAGCAGCGCTGTGACTGAGAGCGCACGGAAAGATGAGCAGAAAAACAGAAGAGAAAAAAAGTGACACACCAGCTTTTTCTATACAAAAACATATCAAAGTTTAATTTAAGGTTATTGGATGGCACATTACTTTTTGCCATGAATATTTTTTATAACCCTGTTTTACTGGATCCGATCCCACTGCTAAACTTAATAAATATTCTACTGTGAGTTGATCAACCATGTTAAAAAAAAAAAAAAAAAAAAAAAAAAAAGTTTAACAACCATGTTTTGGCAAATCTGACCATTTTCTCCACACTCCCTGAAAGACAGGCTGTCCTTAACCCGAACTCTTCCACAGCAGCATTTTTAATTTCTCTTTGAAATTTGGTCACATTGGGGCCCGATGAATGTAAAAACGAAAAATTGCCAGATTTTTTTTTTTATTTATTTTTGTTTTTAAGAAAAATAAGAGCCACATATGAGCATATTCGTTTAAAATTTTGAGTAACAGTAGCAGTATAATGTCCTCATAAGTGGATATCAGGCCCTTGTAGAGCAAAATTGAGTATTTTGGTCTAAATAACCCAAAATGTGATGTCCACATATGTGGACGCCAGGTCCTAGGAGGTTAATCATGATTACTTGAACATTTCTAAAATTAAGGGTGCTGGGCTTCACTTCCATATGGGCATCTTTCAAGATTTCCCACAATCTGAGTGCCTTGCAGAACATCGTCAGTTTTATTTAAAATTACAGGTGGTGATCAGAATGACAGATACTGTGCTTCTTTCATGCCCAAAAATATCATACCATCTGTTTTTATGCTGCACAGCAAAGGGCAGACCTGCAATATTGGTAAGGTTAACGTTTAGGGCAAGACGTTTTTAAACGTACAGGAAATACTGTGTACTTAACGGTTTCTCTAATCGAATCATGTCAACAATGAAAAAAAAAGTGCTACAGGCTACAGCAATTTTTACTGAGATTTACCAGCTTCCTGGAGCCAAATGGGGCACTCCCAGCATCATCCAACCAACCCTGATGCATAGCCTGCAGGGATCAAACCGTTCCAGGAAGTTCAAAGGGAGCAGCAATGGCAGATACAGAGCTGCCTGTTAATGAGCAACTCCTTTAACCTCCTTAACGAACTAGGGGAGAGGAACGCTCACAGGGGGCTTTTAGCCATGATGGGTCACATTAACAAGCGTTCTGCAGCACTGGCTGCAGGAGACTTGTGCAAAAGAAAACGGTTCCACGCAAATTTACAACAACTATTTAGATGTTATGTGATGCTTATTAGGGAGTGGGAGCATCAGTTGCTCACTAACATAACTGTGGTGCTTTTGACGAAGCCATGAAGGGAATAAATGACAACAACTATTCCAGTGATTAAGTCATGGAAGCAGTTATGAAAAAAAAAAAAGGGGGGGATATGTTTGGCCACTGAGAACCCGCCCGTCCTACATTTTAATAGGACTAAAAGCAGCAGTGCCCATATGGCATAGTCATCAGCCTGACCATCTCCTGTGCCCTCCTCCATGTCCACGTGGCGAGTCAACATACACAAACATGTTGTTCATATTGTCTAACTGGTGCTCCCCGTGCAGCAGCACAGAGGGGCAGAGGACTCAACGGTAAAACTAGGCCAAATGAGAGCACAGGAACGCACATGCGCCAGCCGGCACAGACACAACTACAGGATGAGGGTGTCTTTGTGGCCTGGCTGCCTAATGAGTGTAGACAAGCTCTGGATGGGGCTCCTCCTGATCCTCACCGCCTCGCAGCAGGACAAGGAAGGGAGTAAAATCTCACCATCTGGTCACAGACCACCCAGCCAACACAGACTGAGAAACCAATGCGGGCCGTTTCAACACTAAACCCAACTGACTCTCCACGCTGGCACTAATTCACCGAGATACTGATCGGGGCACTTTGCTGGCACTAATTAGTCGAGTGATCTCAGCAGTTTCACCTCCACACTAATAAAAAGAGACAGAGTCAAGACAAAAAACTTGCTTTTACATTACCACAAAGGGCAACTATTTAACAAGATACGCAGGTGGAGGGCTGCTGCTGCCAGGTCTCCAAGAATGTGGGAAAAGCTCAAAATGACACAGGCCAGAATATTAAATGGATGCGAAAACTCACCGAGGTCGACAAATTTTGCAAGCTAACTCAAACGGCCGAGTTAACTGAAGATGACATATCACATGCAGGGAGCTTGATTCAATTTAGTTTCATTTAAACGCTCTGAATCATATCAGGAAAATGTAATTTTTAGACATAACAAATAATTACAAGCTGAAACAGAATTCCGTTGTTCTTTATCCCTGCAGCCTGTGCTGTCATATTTTTATATGCACAATAATTTTGCTCTACATTAATTTGTCAGTGAGGTTACAGTGAGGCTATAAACAAACCTTTGTTTGCAAATAAATGTAGAAAAATTCACTAGTTACAAGCTAAAATAAAACTATGGCAGCTTATAATTAATAAATAAGAAAATAACATTTAAGAATTCGTTTGCTTTGCTATGGCCTTAATAAAAAAACAAAAAACAACTTTTCTTCCTTCTAATGCCACACATATCACCCGAAAAAGCAAAATGTAAAATATCATTCAGTCAGTCAATCAAGATAATAATATTCAGAAATAAAAATTATCCAACTGAAAATGTTCAAATATGCTGGTGATAGTGTTGTTGGTGCCTTTACTTTTACAGGAATTCTAACCCTGACTCTTCTGCACAGGTTGGAGGAGTAATATAAATCTCCTCATTTGTTACTGAATGCTGCCTTGTTTTGATTCACACATGCACTATAACATATAACACCATAACATTAATAGCATATACTGCAACATATACTGATAAGAAGATGAATTTTATGGATAACGATGATTCTATCTACAAGAAAGCCAGTTAGTGATTATTTGATGTTGAACTTGTGCCCTCAGGGTGATTTAATAGTCAGGGATTATTTCAGCCAAAAGCAATTAGTATACAGAAAAATAAGACGCTGTGATGCATTTCTATTCTGTATGTATGAATGCTGCTGATTGTTGGCACTAATTCTATTATGAAGTGATCTTGTGTATGTATGACTTGATGAATCATGAGTTATTCTAATTCTAATCTATTCTAATGCCTTAATCGTGGATATTTATAAGTGACTCCTAATAGCTCTATAAATTTTGAATACAGGAAGAAAACATGTGAGAAAAATCTAAACTCAAGCTTATTACAAAGACACAGAAAGAGAAAAGGATCTTCTTAAGCCAAACTTCTTCAACTTAAACTTTTCTTGCCAAGTCTGGTTGTTTATTCAGGCTAGTGAGACCATTACTGCCTGACACCCACATGAAAAAGCAGCTCCCTGCCTCACATACAGTAATATGACTGAAACTCTCTTTGAACAAGTCCCTGAAGCTGACAACACAGCTGTGTGGCAGAGGCGAGCGAGGACTGAAATAGCTCTTTCTGAACCAAACACATGACAAAAACTATTTCTGAGCCACATTTTGTCTCCTCGTTCAAACGGAAAGCCACACACCCGGGTAACAAACGCACTGTGTCGCAACAACATACGGGGGAAATGAATGTTGAGCAGAGAATAGAGAGCTACACCTTTCTTTAAAACCTTACTGCAACATGTACCTGCATGGTCACCTGCACAAGAAACCTGCCAGCTGTAAGATGAAATGTCATTAGAGTTCATTAGAGGTTTCAGTCAACAGACATACTTTGAGTCAGTTCATTAGAGGAAGCAGTCGATGGAGGAACTTAAAGCTGCTTCCGTTTATGACGTAGCATTGGTGCGAAGTGGCTGTGTGGATACATGAATGAAAGAGCAAGCTCTTTCATTCATGTATCAACATGTACTAGGTTAGCAAAGTCATTTTTTAACTGGAACTTATTAACTTATATGTAAAATCCGAATGCTGTACTTGAGATGTTCCAATAGCTGAGAATGAAGTGGGCCAATCAACACCTAACCTGGTAGTTCTGTAGCAGTAGTGAAGGGTTGTAAAATACTTTTAATGCATTCACCACAGCTACAGACCCCACCACAGTGAACAAACCTCAAGCCTTCCTGTTTCTGTCATCAAAAGCTCTAAATAGATTGCAGGTGAAATTCTCACTAGCAGAGCACTACGGTACTAGCAAAACTGTAACAGCTGTCATTCAATCCATTCTCCCTCAGTCATTACAAAAAATCTAACGTGACTTTTTGTACAGTGCCACAGGTACTCGTGACAGTGAAATAATACAAAACATTCTCACTGTTTCAAAACAAACTTTTGGGCCATTATGAAACGTGGGACAAAAACACGTGTGATATGGGCTTGAGCATAATCAGCCTATCAGGACTGAGGGAAATATCTAATGAATTGCTTTTCACTGGAATACAAAAGCCAGAGGGCCTTGAGGAATGCCCCCCTCTGAGGGACAAAAGAGCCAGGCCGGTGTGGTGGCCTCACTGCGAGGCGGCCGCGTGGAAGAATGTGCAGAGCCGTTTGTTGATTTGTATCTGTTGATGAAAACTTCTCTCTCTTGCCTTCTCCCACTGGTGCAAGCCTGATGCCTCGCTTTAGTAAACGAGTTCACTGACCAACATCAGTTTCAAACCTCTGCGTGAGTGTTTTATTGAGCAAAGCCAGCTACTCAGCGAGTCAGAGATACTTACTCATCTGTCGGTCTCCGTAGCTAATGGCCTCGGCGAGGGGGCTCCATCCCTGAGCGTTCTTCACCTTCACTGGTGCATTGTGGGCCAGCAGCAGATGGGCACACTCTGCAAGGAGGACAGTTAATCACTAAACACCAAAAGACAAACAGAAGGACAAACTGAAAACCCAAAAAGCCACCAGGAATGTGCCTAACACACGACTCACTAGCAGTACCACAGACCTAATAGATTTCAGTTTGGCATCTTGACTTGACAACGGGCTGAAGGATGATTTCCTGACCAGAAATAGTCTGAAAATGTGACAGCACCCAAACTTCATAGTCATAGATATTAGGAAATTAATGTTCCAGTAACTAATAATAAAAATCCACAGAAGTAAAAGGTGCTTTGGGGTATGTTTTTTTATGTATCTTCATTTTACATCCTATTAATATGAAGCAAACACATAATACAATATATGCTGAAAACAAAACAATAAAAACTTTTAAAAAAAAAAAAAAACTACATTGATATTTTTTATGGTGACTGCTTAATACACAGAAGAAAAACCCTGCGTCCAGCTCTAGTCATGTGTTCGATTTTCAAACCACAGAGGAACCGAACAAAAATGAGATGCAAAGTTAAACAGCTTTACTTCTCCTGCTCTGCAAGTTTTATCTGATGTGTTTACTTCAAACTGACTACTCTGCAGTACAGGTGTCATCGGTTACATAGAGCACATTTCTCACAATGTTTCCAGGGTGTCCAGAGGGCTAGTTTGTGTATAGAACGTTAACCAAAAAGCCATATGGGACCTACAATTATGCAAGACTTGGAATCTTTCCTTTTTCTTTTTTTTTTGTCCTGCATTGCTTTAAATTAACGAACTAAATTTTGAGCTAAAGGAAAAGACATCCCTTGGTACTATGTAGTCACCCTCCGAGCGGTGCTTGAATTCTAACACCTGGAAAACAGCCAAAGAGCTTCGTCTCTTTTCTATGGTGAGATCAGCAGTAAGTGCAGCATAAAATCCCTCTGCTCTCCGGGCAGCGTGTCAACAAACTACAGCCAGCCACAACTGAAGCCTGTTGTTCCGGCTCAGCTGTCAGTTTTGTTGTGACATCACTCATTAAAATGTTGGCATCTGTACAGCTCTGTCCCAGCACTGGCCCGAAAAGTCACAGTCCTACAAATGCTAAGCAGGGGCTAAGTGCTAATGGTCCGCTGCTGAGTGCATATGTGGGGCCTTTGCTTGTTGGAGCCAGAAGTTACATTTGCTCGACCGGTCTTTTTAGTCATGGGTGTATCACGTGAACTCATTCAAATCCTCCTGACTTGTTTTTTTGCATAGATAATAACAGCTATCAAATACATCACAAAACCACATGCACCATATACATACTCCCCATGTTTCATTAATGAGAAAGAGGGTAACACAAAGTCTTAATGACGGAGGGCAATACAATCTGAAACTCTTCCTTATTAGACGCATTAACCACACAACAAAGAGAAGCACGTCTCTCCCAGGAGTGTAGTTACAGAAATAAAAAGGGCAAGATGTGACATCAACCAGTTCAAACAGTTAGGCTACATTCTCCTCATAAGCAATTAACAGTAACACCAGTTGTGTATAGTACAGCAGACATCAAGATGGGAGCATGGCAAAGAAAATCGAGATGAACAGAGACGCGGCGCTGGGAAGTCATTATGGTCACACCAGTGATGCAGAGTTTCAAAGACTTGGCTCATTACTGGCTTTAATGGATTTTCTTGGTAAATTTCTGCTTGATGCCGAACGCTGTCCAAAAGCTGACCACTTCAAAAAGATTGACTAATACTGTTCATATCGCATGCTTGAATGAATTAAAATAGCTGCATTGGTAACAGGAAGATAGCTGAAAAGTGAATGAATAATGCAACATTACAGCAAAGCCCAGTCTTTACATGTTAGTTCAAACTGTCACCCAGCTCCAGGACTCAGTCGCTGATAACAGAAGTTGATATGGAGGCAACACAGGCAAACAAACGGACAAGAGCATGCTTTCTGATGTAAGCTTTGCATTTCCTCAAGGCTCTGACCTATATATCCCTCTGCTAAATCAAACGATTGTGTAATGATAACGACAACATTTAGCAGACATGCATTATATAACCACGAGGAGAACAGCCAGGCCGTGTGTCCTGAGCCCCACACCTTCAAGCTTCTGGTCTGAGTTTTGTGTTTCAGATGCAAGCGTATAGTGTGGCATCATGGATACACTTTTGTTTTAAAGGCACACAACACTTGAGTTCTATGTCAGTTGTTTATGATGTGAATTAAATGCAGAAACTAAGTTAATCGCCTCGCACTTTAAGATAAAAATTACAAACAGTTGCTATTCGAAGATCGACTCTGATACATTTCCATTACCTGTGAGGTAAGCGGGACATCACAGCACAATTGTAGCTACATCATGTTGAGATAATGAAGGCTTTATGTATCAAATGTGACTAACAGCAAAGACACGTGGCTATTCCACTGACTAAAGTGTTTGTTTAAACTTGAACATCCAGGCAAACATTTGTAATTCCCGTTTCAAGCACTTGTCTCCTGTTTGCTCTTATTGGTGAAATAATAGCATTTGTGACGCATTCAAGTTGTTACCAACAGTTAAGTAAAGACTGAGCTATGATATTGAGCCATGGCTGTAGATGGCTTCAAACAGCAGCAAATGAGGATCGGTTTAAAAGCAGGTCAGGATGAAGGTGGCATGTGCCTGTGTGTGGCACGCCACCATTTGGTTTCAAGGACAGTTTCATAATCAACCATCAAACATTTTCTCAGAAAGACACACACAGCAACATGGCAGCTACATCCACAGAGGCGCTTTCAGAGATATCAAAGACTTGCATTTCTCTCAGGAATGAGTAACAAGTCAAACTTTTGGAACAGCCGAGAGTTCTGTTTTCTTATCATAACAAAGTAACATGCAGGACCTTTTTAGTCGATTTACACATTATCATGGACATGGTGCTCAGGTGGAGACAAACAGATACTGTTTTATCTTTCACTGGTCACTACAGAGTCAAGGACACAGACAGACACACCCACCCCTTTTTTATTTCCTTTGGCTCTCTCCAAAAGTATCTTACCTGATAATTCTGTGACCTGAACATCAGATTTTTCCACAAGATTCCTAACAAATTAAATTTTAATACAATAATGTTTTGATTAGTATTTAGTTATCAGAAGTAGTTTAACTAAATTACTCAAATAAATCAGTTATGCTTTGTTTTCTGTCCATCATTCAAGAATTTTCACTTCCGAATTCATTTTTATCAGTGTCCAGAAACTCTCCGAAAAGCCTGCAATTGATCCAAAATGCTGCAGCAGACTAGAAAGAGAGAGAATATTTGACCCATACTTCTCTTCATAGGCTCCCTCTTAAATCCAGAATCAAATTTAAAATCCTTCTCACAAGATACAAGGTCTTGAATAATCAGGCCCCATCCTATCTTAAAAACCTCACAGCACCATACCCACCCAATCATCCACTTTGCTCAAAGACTGCCAGTTTATTTGGTTGGTGGTTCCTAGGATATTTAAAAGCAGGCCCCTCTCAAATGGTAAACACTGAGCACACAAAGCGCTTTATGCAACTTACCTCATTCATCCACTCATACAAGCACTTTTTTTCTATGCTTTTTCCTATGCAAGTGCTTTCTAACATTCACAAATATTCACACTCCGATTAATGCATCGGAGTTAGTATCTTGTCCAAGAATATTTGGTATGATATTTGATATTTGGTATAAGATTAGGCTTAAAACTTTCCTTTTTTGATAAAGCATAGAGTTAGGACTGGATCAGTTGACCCTGAATCCTCCCTTAGTTATGCTGCAATAGGCCTAGGGTGCTGTGGGCTTTCCATGATGGCTGTTTCTTCTTCACTCACTATGAGCTTACACACACCATTTTGCATTTCATCCTTAGTTATTGTGAATCTCTTCCACTGGATCTATTCCACAGTGTGTTTTTGTCCTGCCTTCCTCCCATCACTCCCAACCTACTGGTTCTGCTGGAGGGTTCTTCCCATTTCTTCTTCCCACTGTTGCCAAGTACTTGCTCAAAAGAGGTTGTTTTCTGTGTATTACAGTCTCTACCTTGGAATATAAGAGCATCTTGAGGTTACTGCTGCGGTAATTTGGCGCTATATAAATAAAATGAAATTGAATTTTAGATAACCATGATCAAATCATGACAAATTTGGGATCACTTGTCCCAATTTGGGCAGCATAGCTTCTATACAAAATGGCTATAATGTATTGCTGTGTGTGTATTTAGTGTTTTAAATATAAACAAAGTTAGCTAACTGGATAAAATGACATTTAGGCTGCTTGTTATTAGCCACCGTTTGCTGTCTTGTTCGATCTAATATGCACTTGTGCGAGCACTGATAAAGGAAAACTCCTTGTGGGCTGCTGGGCTGATTGCACGTGCATCTGCTGCACAGACGTCCTGCTTGAGTCGCATTCAACTCATGAGTGAGGGAGCAGGATGGTGATGTAAAGCACTTATCTAATGCTACTTGCTGTGCACTGGCTGCAGATGGGGCTTCTGTCGACAGGATCCGATTGCTGTTAAAGCTCCCTACCTTCACCCTACAGTTTTGACTAAGTCTGAGTACATTTTAAATGTTGATCTGGCTTCTTTTTTTTTAACCATTATTTACATACTCAGCAACATTTGCAATTGTGGATTTGAGTCAAACAGGAAATTTTCTTTTCCTGTTTGACTCAAATGCACTATTTTAATCAAAATCTTAAAATGAGCATGTGTGTGCCACTTTAGAGTATTTTTTTCCAGCCAGGGTGGCCCACTAATGTCAAACACTCACTGGAACTGTATCTTTCAAAGCCATTTTTAGAATCTCACCATTTTATCTTTCATTCACACCCATTAGACAAATGAAACAAAAAAAGAAAGAAACAAAAAAGAAAGAGTTTTCTTTCCAGGCACATGACAGGAAGCAGAATCCAGACAAACTGTCTTACTCCTCTGACAATGACATCAGCTTTCAGGACTGCATTATGCTCTGCTTTGGATTTTCTTCGTCTTTTACGTTAGATATTTCACCTGTGCAACTATTCCAGTCATGCAAACGATCAGACAGTAGACTGCTGATATGCACAACTGTCATTACCACAATGGCGGACATATATGCAGAAAAGCCAGAAACAAAGAGAGCCTTGTCCTCTGCATCCCAACAGGCCAGCCACACCCAGGCTGTGATCTCATGCTGTAGCCTTCAGCCCGTCTGGCCTGAGCATCCCTAGAGGACCAGGCAGCAGCTCAGGCAAGAGACAGGCAACCTCATTAGCAAAATCAATTCCATGGCGTCCCGTCCACGACAACACTTCGGTACTCTGCTATCTGAATTACCAGTAGGTAGTGGCAGAGCCATCACACTGACAGAAATTGAGCTGTGCGAATGTGAAATCAATTGAAACCCGTGCTTCAGTGACAAACACCACAAATGACAATGTGCAGCACGGGTAACCCTATGCCTGAATGGTTGATCAGGAGCTGACTGCAAAAAAGGCTAAATTAATTTTTCAGAAGCATGTTCTGATGTTTCCTTGTCATATTAAAATGCAGGCATTGAGTCTTGAAGGGACAGCGTTTTAATGTTTTATGTGGATGCTTTCAGTCCAGCCAGAGCAATTCATTCTAAAAACAAACTCATGTAAGATTCCTACATTGCCTTGATACATCATGACATATTCATTATATACTCTTAACTCACAGTTATTCTAAGACGCCCAGATCTCATTAATGTGCAATTTGTTATATGTTCAACATTCTGAGAAAATACACATTGTTGTAGCCTCTGAAACACGTTCACCTCTTTTTCACAAGCCAATTCGAACCGATCACAAAACCAAAGTAACCTCTTTGGTGAGAGACACTGGCAGGTAACTAAAAATAACAGACTAAGCAAATATTATAGGCACTGAAAATTACATCGCTTATCTCAACTAATTACCTCCTGTGCCAGCTTCAAAGTTAAAGTCTTTCGAGCCAGCAGTGTTACATCAATCAGAATGAGACTTTAACTACTGAGAGGGGCCTAATTCTTGCACCATCATCATTATCCAGTACTCACTGATTAAATATGATCTGATAATCCTTTGTGAATCTATAAAGTTGGGGAGAAAAGAAAACCCGCTCTTAACAGATAAAGAAGGAAAGGTCTCTTGTTCCATCGTGATTTTGACCAGGAGAAAATCCATTAACACAACCTCTTTATTCATGCATGAGCATCTTGCCTTCTGGGATCTATGTGGTGATCTGTGACAAATGTCTGGTGGTGCTTAGCCTGGCAAATGCACACACAAAGGGAGGGAAATAAACTGAAACACACACAAACAAAAGATGCACGGGCCTACAGAGAGGCGTGTTTAAAAAGCCACGGAGACGGAGACAAGGAGAGAAACCAAAATAAAGCACGTGGAGGTGAATGTTTCAACACTACTCACCTTTATGTCCCATCATGACAGCAAGATGCAGCGGTGTGTTTCCTGAAGAAAGGGGAAAAAACAGAATTTGTGTACTGCATTTAAGAATAACAAAAACAAGCGAGAGACTTCGAAGAGCATTTTGCCTTTAGGGCTGTCACAGCTGGAGTGAATTAGATGTTTAATCTGGGAGGCAGCCTTTGCTAAACTCCAAATGATATGGTAAGTCTGTGCTCACTGTGCCTTCTCCTACCATGATGGCAATACCACTGATTACTACCCAACTGCACCACAAAGCAAGCTACATTTCAGAGGCAGGCACATGGCCTGCTAACAGACACAATGTATGTGTTACATGGTAATCATTCAAGAGAGAAATGATATTTGTGGCAGGTGTGCAAAAGCCTCTACCTACTATCTGGCCAAACTGTAGGACCAGCTCCTTCAGGCTCTCCCTTACAGAGGAAGACGGAGGTAGGCACGCATCCAAAAACAACGTGGGGTAAATATGGGGAAATGTGCCAAAGCTGGGGTTCAGCTAAAAATCACAAGGGACGCTGTGATGAACAACAGAAAGATTTTTTTCTGTGTATATGAGGTCTGAGTTCACTTACAGCCACCACTGTTGACAGTTTCAAATAAACCACTGATATTTTTTAAAGCACCAATCCAAAATCAGCTGATGTAAATGACGTTTAATCTGTAAACAAGCTGCATTTTAACTCGTCAACAACGCAGTGTTACGAAAGTATTGTCTGGATTCACTGGGACTATTTCCTCCCTCCCACAAGCAAGTGGAAAACAATTGTTTAAAAAGGTATTTCTTTAAGCAACAAGTTTTCTGGAAAAAAAATCATAACAAAACAGCAAAGTGAATGGATGAAATATAATAGTGTTAATAAACATATCAAACAAAGCCTGCCTTACTTCAGTGATTTGATGGTCCAGCTTCAACTTATATCCACTAGAAGCTAAAAATTTATGGGAATAAAGCCACGAATTCAAGATACTGAGCCCAGGTAACCATCAACCGAGAAGGCAAAAAGGCTTAACAAGTTCAGATTCTTCAGCATCACCAGAGTAAATGCCCTCCCCTTCTGCTACGTTGTTTCATTACAGCATGTCAGTGTTTTGAGGACAGAACACATTCCAGAGCTGACAGTAAGCACAGCCCATCCTTTTTTCTTTACATGCGAACCGGAACAACCCTTCGCTGTAGATCTGTCAGTTAAGAATGCGTTGATTTGGAAAATGTGGCGTTATCTGAACAGACTTTGCCTTGCAGATGAATTGCAGTCAAGTCTGGGAATCCCGAAGTTTCGCACAACACGCCTTGATGCGTTAGCCATAGGGCCCTGAACCAACTTATCATCCAGTGTTTAAAGATGACTCATGTCACAAGGAATATGTGATAAATTTGAAATGTGGACTGAAAGGCCGCTGGGACCTTTCCTTATGCAGGCTTGAAAGAAGTGAATTTGAAGAAATTACAGGGTATTGACATTAAACTGCTCCTCAATTTGGACATCAGTTATCTGGGCCTTGGCAACAAGAAACCTCGCCTACATCTAATGCTGCCGGAGAATGATGGCCTATTAGCTAAAACTAAGCTTCACTGGACCTTGAAATTGGCAGTTCATTGTGGGCTTTTTAAAGGCAGCTGAGATGAGCAGTTGTTAAACTCACCATGGACGTCTTTCTGGGCGATATTCTGCGTCCGTATGAGCGAAGACAGTCGTCGGACATCTCCCTTAAATACACATTCGTGCACCGGAAAGTCCTGCCCAGTTCGGATAATGGGGTTTTTGTTGTTGTCATCGATAACATCGGATGTTGACAGTGTGTTGGTGTTAGCATTAATCTGCGACTGTTGGTTCTGCTGCTGCTGTTGTTGTTGTGTGGATGAAGACTTGATTAACTTGTGGTTGCTGAAGATTTTACTCGCTCTGCTCTTGTTGTTCGTCCTGGAGGCTGTAAACGTCCCGGTCGCAGCCTCTTCGTCGGGCTCCAGTAAGTCCTCGTCTTTGCTCGGCCTGTGGTCCTTGCGCAGGGAGCGGACCTTCTCTCCGGTCATTTTCTAAACGGTCGACGCTGACGGAGCAGAGGGTGTCGTCGCTGACGATGACCCTCCGGGCGAACTGATGCGATTCGCCAGTTGGAAGTCTTCGCGCAAACACTGGAAACTGCACAACATGAAAACACTTACTTCTCCCACGGACACACAAAAACCACAGTTTGCTCGAGGACGAAAAAGTAGCACCCCCCTCCTGCCGGTCTCTTATGAAAACAAACAGTCCACTCTCCTCCTACCGCCCCAAACTGTCGACGGCTGCAGTACAACATAAGCGGCTCCAGTTGACTAGTACGAACGCTTCGGCTGATATCTTCCGGCTCGTATTATCGCGAGAGTTTGGGAAAGGTTATTACCGGCCACTCACTGAAGCCGCTCCTATTTTATCAAAACACAGCCTACAGTAGTGTAAAATAAACACGTTTTCTATTATTTTACTCATGTATTTGAGTTGAGTCCAAATTTAAGAGCCATATAAGAGCCAACCTCTGTATATTTTATATATTTTTTTTATTTTTACTCTATTTAATTTGTAAAATATGTATACACACACACACACACACACACACATATATACACACGTAGACATACATATTTAGTATACACATTCAGTAATATGCATACACTCTTATATTGTACATATATTTATTCATATAATTCTCAGATTTAGCCATTCTTATATTTGCTTGTTCTTATGTTATTGTACTTTGCACACCTCTGTTGCTTGTGAAGCTCGCACACAAGAATTTCACTCACATGTACTGTACCAGTGTACCTGCACATGTGATGTGACAATAAAAGTGATTTGATATTTTACATTTTTAATCTAAAATGACCTCTAATATAGCTACACGAACACCGAAATCCAACTCCCACACACATCAACTACCCATTAGCTTTGGCCTTGTAACTGAAAGCGTTCAGATTGCTCGCGAGTAACCAAATTCCTCAAAAAAAGAAAAAAAAATCCCCCCAAAACTACAATTAATTCTCTCGTGAAAAGTCTTTCCTCGCTCCTCTTTAATTTTTTTTTAATGATTTTTAATTTAATTTTACTTTTTCCAGGCTGTTAATTCTGACGAACTGGAGGTCGCAACTTATTTAAAATCTAAACATATTTTATTTTTATTATGTACTGTGCATGAAAGCACTGCATTCAAAAATATATCAGCAAGGGAGTTACACTTCCTATGATTTTTTAAAACTTACATGACACATGGGAAACAGCCAGCAACCCCCCCGCAGCTAACGCAGTCTATTCTCGTTTATCCCAACAATAATTATATATATTTTTTATGTATGTAACAAAAACTGTCTGCTCATAGGGGCTTGTCTTTTATTTTCATAAAAGCTGTGTGTACAGTGAAGGAAACGGTTTCCAGGGCCTAATCCGTGGATCGACTTCCTTCGAGGCGTGGACGTCTATCAGCAGAGAATGTACCTTAGTCTGTAACACAGTCAAATATATTCTCAAGTAATATTCAAGCATGCCATTCAGCGTGTTAGTACGAGCTCGGGAGCAGCTTGGGAGAACAAGAAAACAGAGACTGCTTCAGGTTGTCTTCCCAAATTGACTCAACTTTATTCACAAGTACAACAGTTTATATAGAGGGTAAAATTCATGAGACAGCAGATTATCAGTTTAAACCAGTAGGGGAGAGCGGGGTAAGTTGTCACACTTTTCACACTGACTAACTCTTACTGAGCACCATACATCACAACGTAATAAATGTTTCACCAAATGAAAGAAGGAAGTCTCGGGCACATATGATGTATTCATTACATTTTCATATCTTATCTCATTACGGAGTTGTAGACTGTTGAATGGAGAATGTGTACTTGTGACAATTTGCCCCATCGGCAGGTAAGTTGTCACACTAGATTATCTTAAAATAAGAACACAAATACTTAATTGTGATTATTGATTTTAATTGTTAAATTCAAACCAAAACTGGAAATTTGAACAATTATGCCAAGAGAATTTGGAAAAAAAACAATTATTTCAATCCAATACACATTTTAATCAAAACATTAAGTAGAAAGAAAACTTTAGTTTGAACTTTAAACTCAAATGTTCTCTGGCTTGCACATAAATCCATCATAAATGAATGGAATGCTGCAAATAACTTGCTTTACTTAACATGTTTATCCTCTGAACAAAACAGATGCCCTATTTCTGATTAATCAGACTCAACTTCAGAGTCACAATTCTGGCACACATAAATTGCCTGGCCTGAGGTGCAAGCATCATGGGCCCATTAGTTGCATTTTACGCATTTTACCCAGGTCTCTTTTGGACAACTGTTTGAAAATGGCTCCACACAGACAAGGCAGAAGCACTCTTCATTATCTGATGATGACTCTTGAATTATTTTTCTTCTTTTAGCTGCGTTGTTCTTCATAGGTCCAGATGTTTCCCCCCCTCGCGTCCCTCTCTTTTGAAACAGCTTTTTGCTAGATTCAGCCTTATTCTTTTCTTTTTCTAGTTGCTGCTTCACTGGCGTGTCGGTTAGAATTGCTGATTTGCGTTGTTTTCTTCCTTTGCTGGATGGTTTTCGGCGGCCAGCTTTTGGATATGGCCGGATGTCCTCTGGAGTTGGTAGTCCGCTGTCAGTAATTGCAGTGCTGGGTAAGGGTGAGCTCGTGATAGAGATGGTGCTGGAGCTTGGCAGTTCAGAGTTGGTGCTGGGGCCTAGCAGTGCAGAGTTGGTGCTGGGGCCTGGCAGTGCAGAGGTAGTGCTGGGGCCTGGCAGTGCAGAGGTAGTGCTGGGGCCTGGCAGTGCAGAGGTAGTGCTGGGGCCTGGCAGGTCAGAGTTGGTGCTGGGGCCTGGCAGGTCAGAGTTGGTGCTGGGGCCTGGCAGTGCAGAGTTGGTGCTGGAGCCTGGCAGGGCAGGGTCCGGAATAGGGCGATCTGTGATGTAGGATGGTGCAAACTCGGCTTCCAGAAATACATTTCTGTTGTAAGGTTGAATCCCAGCCACCCTAAAACCAGCCTGAATGTTCAATGGGGTTGCAGCCAGAGGATATGCAATTGCCACAATCCCAGGAATGTCATAAATAGACATTGTCTTCCCAGGGTTGTTCCTCATCCAGGCATCACACGTGCTGTTGATGTGCCTCTTTAGTGGCCCGTAGACAGACCTGTCTAATGGTTGGAGCCGATGTGAGCAGTGGGGTGGGAATGACAGCATGATTATGCCATTTTCTTTGGCATAATTGAGTCCATCAATGGACAGATGAGACTCGTGGTTGTCCAAAAGGAGTAAACAGGGCTTCTCCTTTGAACACTTTGTATGTTCATTGAAATGTTGCAGGAAGTCAACAAAGTGTGTGTCTTTCATCCATCCAGAGGAATTTGCCCCTCCTTTGCTGCCGGGTGGCCCGTTGATCAGGAAATGGTCATGGAAGTGGACACGTGGGAAAATAAAGTATGGAGGTAAACTATTCCCTATGGCTGAGACAGAACAGGCCAGTGTGACAAGGGTTCCCCTTTCAGCAGAGGTCAATGACCCTACTTGTTTGAATCCACGTCTGGCCAACACTTTGTCTGGTTTATGTACAGTGGTGACCCCAGTTTCATCAACATTCCAAATGTCTCCTGGTCCAAACTCATATTTGCATAACACTTTCTCTAAGTTGTCAAAGAAAGCATTGACATTCTCTCTGTTGAAGCTACTTGCCCTGGCAAGGCTAGTTGCTTCTGGCTTTCTCAGTGACAATGTTGTATGCCGCTTTAAAAAGCCTGTAAACCACTCTTTGCTGGTCTTTTCTTTTTCTGCCCACAAAGGCACAAACTTCAGTTCGTGTGCCACAGCAAACTGGTAGGCAAGCTTTCTGACCTCACTTGGTGACAGACCAAAATAAATGTCAGCTGACCTAGTAATATATTCAACAAGCTGCTTTTCCAAATCAGGGGAAAAAATCTTCCTTGGCGTTGTATAACCAACCATTGTTGTTGGCATGGCTGTCTGACTTTCAATTTCTTCTCTGGTAATCTTTTGACAATACCGAGTTAGAGTACGGTAATATATGTCAAAATCCTTTGCTGTACTTCTGATTGATTTGTTCTGCATCTTTACCTGCCTGACTGCCTTTAACATAATGTCAGGTGGTGTTCTGCCACGCTCTGTCTTTCGTTGATAATTTCGAACCATCTTACTTTCTTCCTTCCTTCCTTAATTCCTGCCTCTCCTTCCTTTCTTCAAAAACCTTATTGCAAATACAAATGAATTACAATATCAATTTTTTGGAGCATTTATTTGTACTGGGGCAAGTCGTCACATGTGACAACTTGCCCCAAAGTTAATGAGACAACTTGCCCCAAACTGACATTTATGCTAATTTTGGCTAAATGTCAGGGTTAGCTCAACATAGCACATCAGCTGAAGTATCAAAAGACACGTTAATGTCTCCTCTATTTTGTGTAAAATAATAATTTGTAACATCTATACCTAACAAAGTTGTACTGACGAAAATTTAAAGTGATTTATTTTTCCTTTTAGGTCAAAAAAATAAAAAAGATGTGCTCACCTCAGATTAGAGCAGTCTTGACTACATGTGAACAGGAGGTTGACTATAGAAGAAGAAGTCACACAAAGTGGCTATTTCATTTTTGAGATAGAGCCTCTAGTGTTGGAGTTATGAACAGTGTGACAACTTACCCGTGTGACAACTTACCCCGCTCTCCCCTACAGACCAAGATAAGGCAGCGTCTTCCTGCCCTTGGGTGAAGAAGCATCCTTTGTGTAGTTTATCAGTTCAGCTACAATTGTGATTATCTCAGCGACATATTTTCAAGGCACAAAACAAAGAGTTCTTTCATTAGTGAAATCTGAAACAAACCATTTGGCCTTCAACAGGCGTCTAAAAGATTAAGAAACTAATGTAGCTGAGGGAGTGATCTCTGTGGTATTTCAACCTTGTACCAGCCTGTGATTCTCACACATCAATTCTTGGGTCAAAGAGAAAAATAACTAAAACAAAGGGGCCTTATTGAATGACAGAGTTTTCCTGTATAATGTCACTATAAAACAATATCCAGTAAATGCTACCATGGTACTAAAATACCTAACATACAGTACAGTGTACTTACCACCTCTTTATGCTAAATCTTTCTAAAATATTGTTCTCTTTTGTTTTTGCAGAAAACAAAAACTTGGATGAAGGACATTTTGTAAAGTAATAATTTAACACTGTGGAACTGTTATTTTTATTTAACACTGCACTGTTTATTTGTAGAGTTACAAGAGTTACAAGCATGCTTGTTATTCATAAAAAAGAAGCCTATTGCACTCATTATTGGATTTTAAATTTTTATACTGTATTACTGTGTCTTCTGCATTTTATTAAGGTCTTTTACCAGTGTGTAATCTGCCCACGTGACCTGCAATATATACTGAATAATAAATTCAACATAAAATAAATATTAATATAATAAATAAATATTTTATTCAGTAAAATGCTAAGGTACTTTAATTTTTTTTAAGGTCATACTACAAAATACATCAATGTACATCGATGACAATAAAAGTTCTACATTTTAATGACCACATAGTACATCAGCTGAATGTTTTTATATGGAAGTGTTAATTTCAGCCACAGACCTCAGCTTTAAAACTTTAAAAGTTTAGAGCTGGAGATGGAAATCTTATGTGTATCATACTCTCTGTGGATCATCCGCATTGAATAGCTCGAATAAATAAAAAGGAATATTAACTCTCAAATGAATCTATAGTGGAAGATCTATACTAAGAAGAACAGAAATAAACATGTATTTAAAATTGCACCCAGATACCTCAGTGAATGCATTTCTTTATCACCACTAATTAGTAATTAGTTTATAATCTATTTCATGTTATCATTTAAAATGAAGTGTATGACCAAAAGCCTGAGTGAACAATGAACATTAATTCTTTCTGACAATGATGGACTCAGTGCTTCAGGAAAAAAGAAAGGTATTTAAAATACAAGAAATATGACAGATTCCGTTTCATAAATAGTCATAAACATACTTAGACAAAAGCAAAAAAAAAATAAAAAACACGACGATCTCTAAGCCCTTATTCACAGAATTTCTGTTCAAACTGTAGTGAGTACTTTGCCAAGAAAAGGCCATAGCAGCAGCAGCTTGATTTGTTTGGATACCTGCAAAACCATGAAATGTCCACAGTTTCCTAAAACAAAGGTGAGATCTTGTTTACAGTAGTCACAGTCATGTGAGGTTTCATGTGACTGTGCATTCAAACTAAATACACCCTTTCTGCTTCCACAGGAATTATGCGAGTAAGTAGCAGCCAGATACTAATCAAATGGACTTGATTTACTGATTATCTGGAAGTGTAAAAGCAGAAGTTTTCACAGTTTGTGTTAAAACAATGCAACAGTCTTTCCAAGAGTGGATTTCCAGTTCAGACTGTGCAATGCTCAGAGAAACTGCCAAAAGCCCAAAACCTACTCTTCAGATTCTGCAGACTTCGGTTAACAAATTCAATGTTTAAGTTCATGACAGTACAATTAGAAGAAGGCTGAACAAATATAACTTGTTTGGAAGTATTAACTCATGAATAAGAACTACAGCACTCACAATTTCATGTGTAAAATCTTTAATATTACTAGATAATAAGAAAAATACAAATGCATTTTAGCACAAGGCTTTCCTCAGCAGTTCTAATGCACATGTGGGCGCAGCCATCCACAAAACACTACCGGGACCTAATCCCTAATAGGCACAGGTGGTAACAGTTGATAGTTTGTCAGCATGCAACACTGGCTGTGCACTTCAACCACAGACCTAAATCCTTGAAACATGTACAAAACAACACGCTCCATTAACACTGTCTGAAACACACAGCTCCCATTATTTATTTATTTATTTATTTAATTAATTGGGGGGGGGGGGGGGGGGGGGGGGGGGGGTTGTTGCAGTTGAGCCTGTTGGTTTTCGTATTTGCAAGGGCTGCCAGGAGAAAACCTCTTCTCTGTAAAAAGGTCATGGCAGCACAGCTTAGACATTTAAAGAATCCACAAAACTTTTTGAACAATGAACACGACACCAAAGTGGGGATGTTATAATTTAATAATGCACACACAAGCATATCAGGACAAACACCTCATATCAACAGTCGCAGAGGGCTGATGAATTGGACTTATTTTCACCTTCATGGGTAATTTGCATTCATTGCATCGACCATGAACTTCTTTGTAAACCAAAGTATTCTAGAGTCAAATATGAGTCCCTCACAATCCCAAGCACAGCAGAAAATCTACAGCCGAATAGCAGGAAAAAAAAAAGAATCAAGGTGGTTCAAGGGCCCAAAGTCAGACCTCAAGCTGACTAAATACTGTATCAGGAACTGTGCACAAACAAGTGCACACAGAACTCAATGAAGTGAAGCAACACTGTAAAGAGGAGTGGAACAAAATTCCTCCACAACAATGTGAGAGACTGATAAAGTCACACGGAAAACGATTACTTCAAGTTACTGCTGCAAAAGGTTCTTCTTTATGCTACTAAATCACAGGACTGCACGGAGACCTCTGATTTTCCACAGATCGTTCCATACCAGAGCACACCCACTGTCTACGTGCTAAATCATTACTATACATAAACGTATTCATGAAAAACAACAACAAATACTTAAATCTGCATCAAAACCACCTCTATCGTGTTACCACTGTCTCACTGACACCAAAATGTTGTGACTACACCAACAAAGATAATGTAGTTCTGATAGAAAGATTCAATTTGTTGTTTCCATGACAGAAAAAACAAATAGCCAGAAATGTTCCTATATTTATCAGATGTTGTTTTCACTTTGAGATCACACTAACTCCACGCGCTTGTGTGAATTTGCTCAACAAACTGAAGAAAACTGCACACAATAAAGCAAAGCGGACTGTTCTCGTTCAAAGTCATTACAGAGCACTTCCTCCCCCTGTGGTTCACTCCTGGAAACACAGCTTCAGACACAAAAATGTTTTTAAAGAAGAAAACAAAATAGCGATAATAATAATATGATTGGATAAAAAAATGCACCAGATTCTGTGAATTGTGCCACCAACACAAGAACTTTTATTGCGGCTGCTGAAAAATCGAGTATCCCCCCCCAAGTCAGTGTTATTGTAAACTGACTCTGTTGCGTTACAAAACAACATAAATCACTGTCTTTGGGTAAATACCTGAATTATAAACCCAGAAGGAAACAACGTGCAGTAGCACATTCGTGTTAAAAAAAGTAGGCACCGTGTTGGAAAAAGAGACGCGGACCCTGACTTAAAAAGCAGGAAACGTTGCATCACGACGAACAGCGTAAACAACGTGCATGGCCACGTGGGCTGGACGCCCACTAACCCCCAGCAAATCAGCGCCACATCGCGGTTTGTGTCGAGCGCTGATTGGCTCCGAGAGACAAGCGCAGCGCACGGCTCCATTAAATGTCTTTTACCATTACTGGGCACGGGTAATGTGTACTCATCTTCAGCCCGCAGCAGTCATTTTTGGAGCGCACTGCCATGAGTAACGCGGACAAAAAAGAAGAACAAAGCGATTTATTCGCCGGTTTCCGCACGGCTTATAAATCCTTTGCAACAGATGCCATACACGTCGGTCAGGAGCCGGAGCAATGGAAATCTATGGCTGTAGTGCCGCCGATTTCCCTTTCTACCACGTTCAAGCAGTACTCTCCAGGAAAGCACGCTGTAAGTATCCCGTTACTTTAGGCCAGGTTAGGATCAGACTCGTTCCAGTGTTATGGACGATACGAAGCCCGATGGTTTCTAAGTGTTTGTATATTTTTAGGTTATTCTTATACTATTATTATGTTTTAGCTCTGTATGGAGGCGTGTCTTGTATTATTTTTTAGCATGAATAAGAATGTCTCTTTAGGTAAGTAAAGTTAACGTAAAATCTGTGAATTCAAGTGTTTTTAACCCACTGCATGCGACTGACTGCGCACTCTGTTAAATAAGAAACTACCCTCAGTCGAAAGATGAAGCTTGACTTGTATTGTAATTCCTTCCTGCGTGTGATAACCAGTTCATGGCCATCCATTACTGGGAGTCTGTGTTAGATAAATATTGTTTTGTTTCCGCTTTAACATCATTATCTCTCCATGTTTCAGATTGTTAAAGTCGTTTTTTCCCTTCTCATTGCTTCTGGCATTGATTGGCTTACAGATGACAGATTTCTAGCACTACACTGACAAAAAGAGGCAGGACATTACACAGGAAAGAAATTCTTGAGGGCAGAGTTCACTAGTGTCAGTTTTCATTGCTTAATGTTTCACAGTTATAAGACTCCTCATATGTAATGCATTACCAGTTAAACTTTTTTTTTTTTTCTTATTTGCAAGGGCTGCCAGGAGAAAACCTCTTCTCTGTAAAAAGGTCATGGCAGCACAGCTTAGGCATTTAAAGAATCCACAAAACTTTTTGAACAATGAACACGACACCAAAGTGGGGATGTTATAATTTAATAATGCACACACAAGCATATCAATACAAACACCTCAACAGTCGCAGAGGGCTGATGAATTGGACTTATTTTCACCTGGACATCACCTTCATGGGTACTTTGCATACTCCTCATTTGTAATGCATTACCAGTTAAACTTTTTTTTTTTTTTTGAGCTTTTGCACTCAGGTCAGCTTTCTTCACACAAACCACTTAACCTCCATTAGAAGTGGTAATTTTTTTTCTCCAAAAATTAAAAACGTATTTTTTTATTTCATTTACATCTTTCTGATCTTTTCAAAGCAAGCCGTATTTTTCAAAATCAAGGAAAAAGAAGGAAAAACCCAACTATGTTTTAGACAAAAAGGGTGTAGGCAGAAGCAACAGCTTGTATGTACCTGCAACATATATATAATCCAACACAAAGTATTTTATAATAACATTAATAATAATAAATATCTACTTCTGTGGGGTTTTTTAATACTTAAACTTAACAAAAGTGCCACATACCAAGTCATCACTGATCACTAAATAACTGCATCCCCTTACTGTCTGAACAGGTGCAAGCAAGTATTATAAATGCTGACCGTGGTGATGAAATGTAAAAATCTTGTGTTGATGTAGGGGTTCGAGTATAGCCGGAGTGGAAACCCTACCAGGAACTGCCTTGAAAAAGCCGTAGCTGCACTGGACGGAGCAAAGTACTGTACGTCAGCCAACCGTATTTCACAGCAGTGAATTTAAACAACATGTTTTAACATCGTTTTACTAAATGTTTAACGCTTCAAAAATGACAGAGCCTTCCAATTTTAGGCTTCTCTGACACGATGATGAAAATAATTCCTGCTCTGGACAACTTCTCACACCTTTTCCTCTGCAGGCCTTGCTCTCGCTTCAGGACTGGCGGCCACAGTGACGGTCACTCACATGCTCAAGGCAGGCGATGGAATCGTCAGCATGGATGACGTGTACGGAGGTGAGAAACCACTTTGCAACTTGGCCAAATGTGTAAAACAAACTCTGTGAGCTATGAGACGTTATCTTGTTTCCTAGATTATGTATGCGTTATGTGGTTTAGTGATACTAACAGAGATTTTCTTTTTTTTTTTAATCACAAGGCACAAACCGCTACTTTCAAAGAATCGCAGCTGAAGTCGGCCTGGATGTGTCTTTTGCTGACTGCACAAAACCACAATTGCTCAAGGCTGCCTTGAAGCCAAATACTAAGGTATGTCAAAGCAAAAATTACACTTCAGAAGATTTCAGAACATGTGTTGTTTGTTTGTTTGTGTTTGGGTGCACCTTTTAGGAGACGTTTCCATTTTATCTGCAAAATAAACACATGCTGTTGTACCAGTGTCTGGTTTGACTAGTATGTTGCTTAATAGGGCGTGTCTTTAAGCTAACTGAAACGGTCATTGTGAATCAGCAGTTCGAGTGATTTCTCTTCTGGAAGTTACACCCACCCCTCCCTCCGCCCCCATGTTTGGTTTGACTTATATGTCATCTCTTTACTCACGTAGCTGGTGTGGATTGAAACACCCACCAACCCCATGATGAAGGTGGTGGACATCAAGGCCTGCTCCGACTTGGTCCACGAGCACAACAAAGACATAGTGGTGGTTGTGGACAACACCTTCATGTCGGCCTATTTCCAGGTGAAACTTGACCCACGGTGCATTTTGTGCGCTGTTGATTGTGTAACAACAGTTCGATAACCTCCTGCAATCAAATTCCAGTTCATCCTGGAATAATTCAGGAAATGATTTACTCTTGTTTCTCTTGTGCACCTTTAGCGCCCCTTGGCTTTGGGAGCTGATATCTGCATGTACTCAGCCACCAAATACATGAATGGTAGGTTCGATTTTACTAACCTAACATTTGCATTAGAAGTCGATGCAAACATTTTGTGAGCTTAGTCACATGATCTGTTGCACGCTAGAAGGGATTAATTACTTTAGTCCTAAAATGTCTCCAAAATGTACCAAAGTAAGTCTGAAATGGGTGAAATAAGATCTTAAGCTTAAATGAATAATAATTGTAAAGCATTGCTAAAATGCTCACGTTGCCTGTCTCTACGATTAAAACAGAGAAACACATGCAGGGATCACCAGTGAAGTTAGAACTTTTGTCAAGGTGTTTGAATTTGATGCTCACCCAGTTAGTTTTGCCCCACCATCATCACATAGCAAAGACGCACAAGCTCAAACACAGAAGAGCAACAAAGTCAACTCCAGTATAAACTCTGTGTTTTGGACTTCTCTTTATTGTTGTATAATCTGTTTGGCAGGCCACAGCGATGTGGTGATGGGACTCGTCTCCATGAACAGGGAGGATCTGTACGAGCGACTGAAGTTCCTGCAAAATGGTGATTAAATACAAAGAGTGCATCAAGTGTTTTTTTTAAATTTTTTTATGGAAATGTACAATAAACCTCTTTATATGCCTCCATGCCACACATTGTATTTGGAGGCTCAAGTTCTGACCAGTTTAAATTCTCTTCAGTAGGAAAGTATTTGTTGATCTGGATTTTGGGAGGCTTTGTTTGTAACCTCTTTGGATTTTCCTTTTCTTCATGTGATCCCGCCTCTGCGTCAGCACTGGGTAGTGTGCCGTCTCCTTTTGACTGTTTCCTGTGTAACCGTGGATTGAAGACCCTTCACCTGAGGATGGAGCGGCACTTTAAGAACACCCTGGCTGTTGCCAAGTTTCTGGAGGCTGATCCGAGGGTGGAGCGCGTCCTCTACCCAGGTGATTTGCTGTAAACATTTTAAAATCACACATACCACAGACTTGTCAAAACATGCCTGTCATTATCTCCAATCTCAATCTTTACAAGGAAACTCTTGCTGATTTAGCTTTAAGCTTATTTGGAGGAGCCTGCAAAACCCAAGTTGCACAGTTTGTTGTACATTGTCTTTTTAGGTCATTTGAGGTCACACTGACCAATGGTGACCTTCCCCATTGAAACACTGTCTTTTTTTTCACAACTCTGGTGGTCTTACAGTTAAACTATAAAAGTCTGACCTTTCCTGGTTTCATCTCTTTATGCTTTGTTTGCCAGTTATTTAGTCGACAACATTGATCCAAAGAACCATTGTTCTTTAAACCATTGTCACTGTCGGTCACTTGAGTTCACGTTGCTGAGCGGTGACCCGTGGCACGCTTCTTTTTTTTTTTTTTTGGTTTTCTAGCAAAACGCACTCCCTGCCTTGTGTTGCCCTCTATTTCTACATAATAAGTAAATAAATAAATACTAGAGATGGACCGATCTGATATTACGTATCGGTATCGGTCTGATACTGACGTAAATTACTGGATCGGATATCGGAGAGAAATAAAAAATGTCATCGATCCATTAAATATCAAAAAAAGCACCTCAAAACTTGCGACATGGCATAACTCTGCTCATAACCGTAGCACATCGCAGCAGTGTGGTCACGTGATAGAGCGGCTGTGTGTATTTGTAGCCTCGCTAGCAATCCAGTGATCCCAGAGAGAAGTAAAGCAAGTGTGTAAGTTCATCTCTGAATGTTTGTAAAGCATTCCAGCGTTAAGCTTAACAACCGATTTATGGAGCGATGGCCTCTTCTCTCTCTCTTCCTCCCTCTCCGGCTGCTACTTCAATCATGAAACTGATCAATGATCAGCTGATCGGCTTTTCTGTCGCGAGTCCATCTCTCTTGTTTGTTTTTGGCCCACTTTGCGCCAGAAAGAGGAAACCAGCGGCTGAACAACAGCAGCACGTTTAAGCTTGATCAGCTGTTGTTAGAACTTATTTAATATTACTTTCTACACCAGGATCTTTTTCTACATAGCTGACGGCTATGCAGGGGCGGATCTAGCAAAGTTTAGCCAGGGGGGCCGATAGGGCAAGAACAGGGAAAAGGGGGGCACAAAGACATACTTTTCTTTCTTATTCTCATTTTAAATGTCTAGCTTTTAATAAATAATTATCCGAATCTTACACCCAAAGTTTTAATCTGATGTAAAATGTATAGAAGTCTAATAGTATAACTATTAAGTCTAATATACCCTAGTAAGCTGTAGTACTTTTTCCTTTGGGAAGGTACCATCTGTGCAGTCTGCAGTTCTGTTGAAGAAAGATGTTGAATCTATTTAACTATTCTTGAAATTTTTTTTATTTCTGTGCATTTTTTTTCCTTCACACTGCATCAAATTAAAGTTGATTACGTCAATTAAGCATCATGAGGTGGGGGGTGGGTCCCTATTTTTTTTTTAAATTTTTTAAATTTTTTTTTTTTTTTTTTGCTGGGAGTTTTAGAGCCCTATTAGTTAGGTTGCTTACTCTTTAAAATACCAGAATAGGGAGGATGGAGCAGGTTTAAGTTTATTAGATTGATCAGTATTGCTGAAATATGAAATATTTTGGGTGCAGTGTATTTTTTTGCATACAGGTATAACAGAATAGCTTTAGTTTTTTTTTTTTTTTTTTTTTTTTTTTTTTACTTGAGTATGAACTTATACAAAAAGCAGCAAGATATTAAAAAAACAGTTTTATTGAAAAACACACTATTTCGGATTCATATCGGTATCGGCAGATATCCAAATTTATGATATCGTATCGGACATAAAAAAGTGGCATCGTGCCGTCTCTAATAAATACAGAATTTTCTATTGAAAGTAGCCAACTGAATGTGTCTCATCCATAAAATTTTTTGCCCCTCCTCTGTGCTAATTTTTAACTAAGCAAACTGATTAATCAGCATTTTCCCTCCAACTTACTTTGGTGTTCATGGGTAGATAACTAACTTTCATCTTATTGTGCTGTTTTTGCCAATTATTTACAGCTTTTGCCTATAAAATATAATTTAGTCAGTTTTCTTATTTAAATTAAGTTGTACGTTACCAACTTTTTCTTTAAAATTAAATTTGAAATTTTGAGATATGTCTTCCCTCTTTTGACACAGGCCTGCCGTCTCACCCCCAGTACGAAGTGATGAAGAGACAGTGTACTGGGTGTCCAGGGATGATTGCCTTCAACATTAAAGGGAAACTTGAGCATGCTACTACCTTCCTCAATAACCTCAAAGTAATTTGGCTCAAAGTTTTTATTTATTCTGGCCTGTTTGATTTTGCATTTAATAAGCAGGTTGCTGGGCTTTAGGAAAACTATGAGATGTAGTGCTGTGAAAAACTAAATGCACCCTTACTGTGTTTGTAGGGATTACAAAGAAATGGTTTAGTCGAGCTACTATCCCTTCTGGCTTCCTGTTTGGACCTCAGACACTATATTTTCACTTTCTTCTTATTTCTTGCCTTTCACAGCTTTCTCAGCTGCACCTAGAGGTAAACCTACTTCCTTATATAGAGAAATGTGGACGGGGTAGTGTGCAGATAGGTTGCAAATTGTATGAAGATTAAACAAGACTGTTGGTCATGAACGATGAACATACGCACTGTGGTAAGAACAAAATAGGCCAGTGCGACTGTTTCATAAATCCAACTGCAATTTTGTGTGCAAACGATTATTTTGCACAAGATGATTACTTCAAGTTGTTGCTTCTAAAGGTTCTATAACTAATGAGTCATGGGGTGTACTTAGTTTTTCATAGGACTGCATAGAGTCTGTATCAGGATCAGATGCCTTCACTGACCGGACACACACGCACACAGACACAGTGACATTTTCAAACGCTGTTTTTCTACAAGACACATTACAAACTTTCCAAGTTGATAATATTTCGCTACATTATAATAGCCATAATTAACATGTGACATCAGTTTATACTTGCTGCCAAATTCATCACATTTTTTTTCACACTGGAAAAACATTGTTTTCATGTTAATTTGACCAGTTTTATTATAGTATTTGTTACAAGTGGACCATTGTGAAGCAGCATGATCCAAGGAGAACAGATTGTGGACTTCACTGTGTGTATGAAAGGCCTATGTAAGCTCGCTGTTAATGTCTGAAAATGATCCAGACCACAAATAACAGTGAAGAGTGCTGCTTTGGCTTGTTTCCGTTGTGGGTTACTAATTGTCTTTTTCATTTTTTGTAATTCCCTTGAAACTTTTGTGCTCGCCTGTACACATTACGCGCCGTGCTTCACTTCATCTTCATGTCCTTTGTGGTCTTATTTCAGATGTTTGCGATTGCAGAAAGCCTCGGTGGGTACGAAAGTTTGGCAGAACACCCGTAAGTGTCACTGTAGTGTTTTTATTCTTGGTAGTGTTAAAAGTACACTCTTCTGTAAATGGTTTACTGTAAGCTTGCTGCAGTTTAACACAGACCACCACAAGGGGGCAGCAGAGACCAATAGATGAGCCCTATCAGACTCCCTCAAACTACACTCAACAAAAATATAAACGCAACACCTTTGTTACTGCTCCCATTCCCCATGGGATGGACGTAGAGACCTAAAATTCATTCCAGATACACAATATAACCATCCCTCCCAAACAGTGGTCGCAAATCAGTCCAAATGTGTGGTAGTGGGCACATCTGCTATATTGAGATAATCCATCCCACCTCACAGGTGTGCCACATCAGGATGCTGATCTGACATCATGAGTAGTGCACAGGTGTACCTCAGACTGCCCACAACAAAAGGCCACCCTGGAATGTGCAGTTTTTTGCGCTATTGGGGGTCTGGGGACCCAGAACCGGTCAGTATCTGGTGTGACCACCATTTGCCTCATGCAGTGCAACACATCGTCGCATGGAGTCGATCAGATTGTCAGTTGTGGCCTGTGGAATGTTGGTCCACTCCACTTCAATGGCTGTGCGAGGTTGTTGGATATTCGTGGGAACTGGTACGCGCTGTCGTATACGCCGGTCAAGCACATCCCGAACATGCTCAATGGGTGACATGTCCGGTGAGTATGCTGGCCATGCAAGAACTGGGACATTCTCAGCTGCCATCTGCCCTGAACAATGTGAACCATGATTCATCCGTGAAGCGCACACCTCTCCAACGTGCCGGACGCCATCGAATGTGAGCATTTGCCCACACAAGTCTGTTACGGCGACGAGCTGGAGTCAGGTCAAGACCCCGATGAGGACGACGGGCATGCAGTTGAGCGTCCCTGAGACGGTTTCTGACAGTTTGTGCAGAAATTGTTTGGTTGTGCAAACCAATTGTTCCAGCAGCTGTCTGGGTGGCTGGTCTCAGACGATCTTGGAGGTGAACCTGCTGGATGTGGAGGTCCTGGGCTGGTGTGGTTACACGAGGTCTGCGGTTGTGAGGCCGGTTGGATGTGCTGCCATATTCTCTGAAACGCCTGTGGAGACGGCTTATGGTTGAGGGATGGACATTCAATGCACGGGCGACAGATCTGGTTGACATTCCTGCTGTCAGCATGCCAATTGCACGCGTCCTCATTGCTTGTGGCATCTGTGGCATTTTGCTGTGAGACAAAACTGCACATTCCAGGGTGGCCTTTTGTTGTGGGCAGTCTGAGGTACACCTGTGCACTACTCATGATGTCAGATCGGCATCCTGATGTGGCACACCTGTGAGGTGGGATGGATTATCTCAATATAGCAGATGTGCCCACTACCACACATTTGGACTGATTTGTGACCACTGTTTGGGAGGGATGGTTATATTGTGTATCTGGAATGAATTTTAGGTCTCTACGTCCATCCCATGGGGAATGGGAGCAGTAACAAAGGTGTTGCGTTTATATTTTTGTTGAGTGTAATTGCAACACTTTATGTCCATTATAAAGTCACTGTCTATGCTCTCCATTAGAATCTCAGCATGTTTTTCTGCTCATGTGTAATCCTTCTCTATCATACCGTTCAGGGCGATTATGACCCATGCATCAGTGCCAGAAAATGAGAGGAATGTGCTGGGCATCAGCGACACCCTGATCCGGCTCTCCGTTGGCCTGGAAGACGAAGCCAACATCATCGAAGACCTGGATCAGGCACTGGCTGCTGCTGTAAGTATCAGACATTAAGTTTTTGTTTTCTTTCTGTGTTGTGGTGGCATCAAGTTTACGGGAGACTTGAGTTGACTTCCTGAGAAGGTTAACTTTACCTGTTGGTCAAGCTAGTGCTTTAGTGAATAAAATGTTCACTTTTTTCTACCAAAAACCTCTTCTGGATACCCTCTCCTCAAATGGATATTTGCTGTTTCTCAGTATATACAGTGCAAATGTTATTTTTAACTTCTTTGTTGGTTCAGCAGAAACATTGTCGTGTTCCCAGAATTCATTTTCAAGTTCATTACTCAGTTTTAAGCTGTCTCACTGCAGTGCAGCACTGTAGTGCATCGCTTTCAGACTTGGCAGACTGTGTCCAGACATCTGCATCTGCATCTTTATCGCATCTCGTCCTCTGGCAGCCGGTGTCGACGTCTGACGTTTTCGTCCACCTCTCTGACTGTCTCTGGCCTGGCACGGTGGCAAAGAGTTTATTAAATGTGCTTTTCTCTGATTCATCGTTGTTCTGGTTGGCGTGGATAGTTTAGGGATGTGAGTTCTGGTGTATTTTATGAATGGATGCAAAACTAAACACCAACAACTCGTTCTGATTTACGGTCACCCAAATTGGCCATGATTCTGCTGCATTAAAACTCCGAGCTCTAGCGCACTGGTTTGGGATGATTCACCGCTAATTCCCATCCTCTAACTACGCTGTCATCAGCAGTGCATTTGAATTTCCTAAAATCTTGTTACGACCTCGTTTAGCTGTACCCTACATGGCACTCTGTACCTCCTGTCCTCAGCATTCAGATAATGCTGCTGCGTCCTTCTGCTGCCCATCTGAAGAAAATGGATATTAAATGGAGACAAATCTCTCTAATGACTGTCTGTGGTCCCAGGAAAAGGCACCTCTGATTTGTGAAACATTTAATTGGATAGGATGGCAGGTCAGATGGGGGTAGACGGGTTCATTTCCAGTTGAGTTTTATCAGGAAAGGTTGGCTGTGGACATCAGTTGGTCAGTTAGTGATGTAGTTTATGGTGATATTTCTGTAAGATCCTGGGTTTGGATTAGTGACTGGTTTTGTCTTTGGCCTATATTAATCTAATCTGGTCTTGTCTTTATCGCAGTCATTTTGGTATCCCGTCTAAGCTCATCAGAGAGTGACCTTTTTATTCTTAGGGGAAAAAAAGAGAAGCTGGATGTGGATTGTACATTTTATTTATGTATTTATTAAATTATTTTAATTCCCCCCTCTATCTTCTGTTCTCTTTAATAGCATCCAAAGAAGTGAAATGTCTTCAGATGGCATCCTTGAGGGTGGAGGAGTCAAATTTGGGATGAAAGACCCGAGTTTCCAACATGTGGGACCTCAGCTCAGTGACATTCGCCTGTCAGGGAAGCTTGTTCTTGGGGAGGCTGACTTTTAGGCTGGTTTTACTTTGTTTTCATGTTTGTTCTGTGCTTTGTTATAATTAGGATTTTTCGAAGGCTTTAATCAGGCAAAGTCCTGCTCAGTTAAAATTGATGAAGCACGAGTTACTGCTGGAACAATGTCAAACAGACACTTTTCTGAATAACCTGGCTATGAAACTGTGTCTTCAGGTTGATTCATGGTATCAATGTGCAGATTTTTAGATTACTTTATATGCACTTCCAATTCACAACGTAAGTCATCTACTTCAGGGCACTTTAGGTGGCAAGGTAAAGACTCCACACGATCATCTGCAATCTGAGGCTCAGCTGCCACCTACTGACCAAATGTTAGAAGTGATAGTGGCTCTCACAGTTTTGGACAGAGATTTCTTTTTCCCATGCAGAACAATTGTTTTACTCAAACTAGAAGGTGAACAAAAAATGCTGCATGTCCTTTTTGTTTGGCCAAAACTTTGATATAAATGAACTGTTACTAAGAGAGGAGGAGCTCCAGATATTTGCTAGTAAACGTGGGAGGGTCTGGTATACACAAGTGAAGACGTTCCCAGCAGTGACTCCAGTTGAGGTCTGTGTAGAAACGGCTGAATGTTTTTACAGGAACATCTCTGAGAATTATGCTTGATAAAGAGCTTTTTATGTTTTTAAACAAGAGGTTGAGACATGTCAGAACTCCTTTGGGTTTTATCTGTGTGACAACACACACGCCATTTGTGCAACCCACTGTACTCCCACATCACAGCTCATCATTTACTGTAATCGAAAAAATCCATTAAAATCAGTCCAAGTGCAAATCTGTGCCCGTCTCACTTCCTCTCAACCATCGTGCTGTACAAGCACAAGTCTTGTTGTGAGTTCAGCATCAGCAGTGGGGTGGGGGTGCACGGTGGGGCAATTCCCAACTTAAGGTGTCAGATCTTCTGCAAAAGACTGATCAGTACCCACACCTGCAGTCAGTAATTTTATGTAATTATTAAATGGAGAAAAATGTATCATGTTCATCAGGATACAAAGATTTAGTGTGTGTGTTTATATCTTCCAACAAATTGTTGCTTTCTGATGAACCTATAATGTATCCATTAAAAATACAGAGGAATAGGGAAGTGGTTTGTGGAAACCACCATATTTGAAAGCAGTGGGTGGAAGCACCTCTCCTTTCCAACTGTGTTTTACGTATGTGGCTAGAGACTGGCCACATACGTAGGCGGCCGCCTGCGGTGGAGGGACATTTCACTTCATGCCTGCACCTTCAGACTTGAGATATGAAGCATCGTACCTGTGCTTTATCGTCAGAGATTAAGTCCCCCTCACCACAGAAACAAAAATGTGAAGAAAGTAATGCTGCCTCTTAATAAAATGTCACGCTCTTCCTCCTCACCTCAAGAGTCATCTCCTGAACTGAAGTCAGGGCTCTAATGTGTGAAAAAAGTTTGCATAAAATAAACATGCTTATTTCTTGTCAATATAGTCACAGCTAATTATTATCAGCAGGTAAGACACACGTCTCTTCCGTCTTTGGGTAGCTCACAAGAGCTGTCTAAACCTGCGGTCCCCAACCTTTTTTGCGCCACGGACCGTGTTTATGTGCGACAATATTTTTACAGGCCTGCCTTTAAGGTGTCGTGGATAAATACAACATAATAAATCAGTACCGGTACCAAAAAAAGAAGAAGAATTATTCATAACACACGGGAGAAGACCCAGGGAAACAGAGTTAACGATAAAAACGATTAAAAAACAAAACAAAACACTAAAAATCGATAAAAATCCTGAAAACCATGAATTTCACACGTGAGCCTCAACTCTCGCGGCCCGGTACCAAACGGTCCATGGCCGCTGGTCTAAACGAACATTATTCTAGCTAATGTTGCCAGCTAACACTTTCCCTCTGATTAACAGTTGATTATTCTCACATCATATGAGAGTTGATTCACTGTCAGAGTAGCAGTGTTTCACAAACAGCAACACAAACAGCAGCCTTACTGACAGGCAAAGTTCAGCATATCCTCAACAACTCACTGCAGTATTGCTGTCATTGTTCAGAGGAGAAGTCGTTTACCATAGTTTTATACCAGACTAAATAAATGTGGATGCTTCTCACTGTCACTGACAGCTGAGGTAAGCGGTGGACTAACAGCCCACAGACAGGGATAAACTGTGGGGTCTGTCTAGCTTCTGTCTAAAGTAGCAGAAACATGCTGAGCAGCCTCGGCCATTATGGGGAACAATGTGTATATTTACTGTTTTTGATCTCTTTCGGCTAACAAAAACACGTTAGTGCCGTAGCAGCTTTAACTATGATTATGAACTTGAATTGAGAGGGACAAGAAAACGGAACTCAGTCTTCTTTAGCTCTCAGCGAAGGCGGTCGCACTTTTCTCCTCTCCTCCTCACCCTTATCTTCCCTGCTTAGCCTTGTCTTGTCTTGTGTGCATTACTTCCCTGGAATAGCCTCCCACTGTCGTTCCCTGATCATGACTGTGTTACGGCTATTCTTCCCCCTTTCCAACGCCTTCGATGCTTGTGCCCTACCGGGGAAGATAGCAGTCAACTGGACTAGCACTGCAGGACCGGATGCGCTGTCTACGCCGGCTCTCTCTTACCCTTTACCCGCCCCTGTTGCTTGTCTTGTGTTTCTATGGTGTATTGATAATCATGTTCTTTTGTGCTGAGGTGTTTTTTCTGTTATCAAACTGTTCTCCCACTAGGAGCTCAGTCTGAGTGGAGTTTTTTTTTCTCCTCCTCTTACCTCATGTAGTGTATTTTCGTTGTTTTTTCCTATCAGCCTACCTTTCTGACATGTCTGCCCAATGTGATGTTTGTGTAAAGTTGGTCAGAAGGTTCCTTTGTAAGTGCGCATGCGCCATTAGCGTGCTGCCTGCTGTAACCCTAATTTCCCTCGGGATGAATAAAGTATTCTGATTCTGATTCTAATCTACAGACATCTAGTGGTGAAGCTTTACACACTGTAAAGGTTTGTTTTGAGTAAGAGAATATTCTGCAGCAATCATCTGCCAAAGTATTTCAAATTTGCTGAAATCTTTAACTTAACAATCATCTTCACACAGAAGCCTCACAGAACTTGTTTAACCTGGCATGTCCCATTAGCTGTACCCGTGTGAACTCAGGGCTAAAATGGAAACGGGACAGGAAAACAGGCTTTGGATCAAAATTGAAGGGCTACTGAAGTGTTTTAAATTCAGCTCTGAGCCCTTTTATCCGTGACTTGGCTTGAATCTGTCACTCAGTGAGCGGTTAAAATGGAAAATGTAAGTACACGTCTGAGGTTTTCAGCTTCATTTCCCCTCATTTAGACAGAGCCTTTTTTTGGGGCACTGCTTATCACATCCACCTTAACCTTCAATAACAACCCTGGACTACTGTGGAAAGACACATTTCTGTGTGTGGCTCTTGGTGTTTATTTAACAAATATGACTAATGGATTAGATTTCCTGTTAAATATAGCATGTGCTGTCATCATTTTAAACAAATCGGGACTGAAAATGTGGACAAAGTCTTCACTGTAAACACTGTAAAAACGACTGCTCTGACCCTTCCATTGTGTGCTTTCAATCTGTTGCACCACTTACTTGCCTTCACTGGAGGGTCTCTGCTCTTCATCATGTCTGACCAACAGTACTTTCGTGTACACAAATCTGAGAGTAAAATACTTGGAGTTCAGATGTCAGCTTGCTCTGTTTTGAAATATCAACTCCAGTTCCCAGAAATTGACTACACACTGCTCATACGTGTGTTTCAGTGTGGGCAGCGGCGTATTACGGAAAGGTATCAAAAAATGATAGAAGCAGAAAGACACAAGAACTGTGTGTTTATTTTTCTTTAGAAAGATTCTGTATTTTCTGATCTTTGATGGATTCTTTTCACCTCCAGTAACCAGTAGCCTTTGAGCCATTTAAACTTGGACCATTAAATGAACAGCAGCATGGAGAGTAGTGATCTTCAGTGTCTTGTCAGTCAAAAGTGATGTCAGGAACATGCTACTGTTAGCCAGGAAACAAACCAACACAAACCCTTCATATAAATGGAAACGGTTAATCTTACACTTTGGAATTGTTACAAACAAGATGTGCTGTCATGAGTTTTAGAGGCGCTGGAACATCAAACTTATGATAGAAGAAGAAGCACTCCAAGAGCACAAACCTTCGCCAGGGCAGCTCACTCTCTGAGCAGTAAGGGAATATTGTCATATTTTGTATATATTCAATTTGTTTTCTTTGTTGAAAGCCAAATTTTAATGGACTGTTAAAATGATCCCGTTTTACACTCATACAAGATTTTATCAGAATTTGTTCAAAACCTTCAAGCTATCGTGTTTACAGACAGAAAGAATGACATGCATTCACGCAAACATTACAAAAAACATAGCATCTTTTGTAGAAATCTTGGCTATGTCTCATTTAGAGTCCAACTGTTGTTAGATTCTTCTTACTGTAGCTTGTCTAACTCTGCACAAAGCATAAATATAACCTGCCACCTCTCCAGAATTACAGAAAGACCCTTTGTTCAAATTTAACATTAACAAATTTTATGTCTAGCATGCCCAAAATAAGTCTGATGTGTTTAGTCAAAAAGCATCTGGTTTCAAATTAGACTTTATTTGACTGAAAAGCAGAATTTAATTACACGTTAGCACGGTCATTAAAATGCTGTTAGAGAAGGGTTTAAAGCAACCAAGTCACTGTTCTGCTCAGGCTGCTGCTGAGACAAAACACAGTAGTAGCTTTAAGCCAGACGTCCAGATGCCTTTTGACCTGCCTATCGCCCTATTAATGTGTGCATAATGATGATGAGGCTCACTTGGCATGCACTTTAAAAACTTTCTAGACCACATGGCCAACCAGAATCCAGTCTGTTTGGTCTCTGTCTGGTCTAACATTAAGACATACTGTAAATCTGAACTGAACCAGTTTGTTTGTATGATGCATGTGCCGTGCTGCCGTGCTGCCGTGCTGCCCATTTGAATTACTCTGCGTAAATGAGCTTGCTGGTAAAAACTGCTTTGTGGTTGATTGAAGCTCCATCTGTTTCCAATGTCAGCCAAGAGCTCTAGTGGAGAACAACTGCAGTCAGCTCTGGCATTTTTCACACTAGAAACTGTAAACAGTCTCACACAAGACAAATTCTAGGCAAGTAAAGCTGGGTAGGACATTGGAATCATTTCCACACAGTCTTCAGCACTGAAAACAAGAATGATTGTTTGCAGTGAGTTTGCATAGATTCTGGGAAAGCTTAAATATCCCCATTTTACAATAGCACAAACAATGACTTTAGTTACATTTATTTTTAGGTCTAACACAACTAAAAGAATAAACTGAAGCGATATTGACAGTGTCTTTGAAAAGGAATAATTACGTGTCTGAAGGGTTTGTTGTCGCCATTTATTTCTCAGCCTCTATGTTTGGCAGACAAAGAATATAATTACTCCTGTATTGATTTTAAATAATGTCAATGACGTTGCTGTTGTGGCAAAACCAGAAGCTGCAGCAACTGTTGTTGTTGTTGTTGTGCGTTATGCCAACAACGGCAGTTGCAGCCAAGATCTAAGGAAAAATAAATAAAAAGACAATAAAAAAAACAATGCGGATCAATCAACCAGCAGTACAGTCTGGTCAATCTGAGTAAAAACAGGCAGAAATGATTCTGAAAGGAAGTCAACAGAATAGTGCTGATGCATGCATCATTTGGCTGAAACTTCTGTCTGTTGTTCACAGACTTCATAAAGTTATGCTCAGACAATTTCAGAAGCCGGCAGCAGACAGATTAAAGTATATTG